AACCACTCCAAAACAACTCCTGCATGCCAAAAGGTTTCCTTCGCTCAGTGGCGCCACGCCGCCGCACCCCCAGCTTCAACACCCACCACGTAACCCCAGAATAAGCGCACGCGTATACCAGTATCGAAACCCAAATTATAAGAATGGTCAACCACACCAACCTACCTACTAAATCCAAGAGCACGTTATCGTATCCAATCGAGAAGTAAAGTCGTATCGCACGACCCATGAGCTCTACCCCAAGGCCTACCACGAAAACACGGATGCTTGCGTATATTTCACGCCGAAACACCGGGTCCATGAACGTGAGGAAAGAAGCCTTGGTTAGCACATAAACGTCCTCGTCTGTGAGGGTGCCCTTGGCTAGCGCTTTCACGGCACACAGTGCGCGTCTGCGCCATTTGAGGGGGGTGAGAATCTCAAGGTGGAGGTCGTGGTGGTGGTCTATGTGAGTTATCCATGTGGTGTGCACCAACCAACGGAGGAACTTGACTTCGAGGTCTTCGTCGCCAACCGAGGGTTTCAGCGTGGGAGGGAGGTGGTGGGACCAGTAGGGACATGATTGGGGTGCGCGGTTGATCCATTCGGTGAAGCATTCGTGGCCGATGATGTGGCCGCAGGGGTGGAGTTGGATTGCTTGGCAGCCTGAGGGGTCGTGTGGGGAGTAGGGCGTCTTGCAGATGAAGCATTCGGTTTCGGGGTCTGGGTTTGTGATTGGCGTGTAGGTGTATGTGTATTGGTCGTTGAAGACGTTGCTGAGTCGGTAGCGGGACATGCTCGCGTGTTACAAGGATGTCAGTGTTGATAGGTTGCGTGTGCAGTCGCGTCGTGGTAGTCGGTCAAGGCAACCTAGCTGGAGTTTTCGAGGTATGTGAGAGGGTAGTATATCTGATCAATGATCTGAGCATGCACTGTGAATTACTATGCTAAAAGCAGGTAAACCAGTGAATTGCATGCATGATTATAGTGAAAATTGGCGAAAGGTTTTCTGGCTTGAAAGCTACTAGGGTATATCGATCTATCGTTGGGTCTGAATGCCAGTCATTACTCTATTAGTATACATGTCATGGGCCCCATTATGTCCTGAACGAACACAATCCTCGCAGTCAGATCCGCAGCATTACCCTAGATGTCTAATACAAAGTAACCTCCGTGACCCATGCCAGAAGCGGACCCAACGAAGTGCAATCCACATCCCCTGACCTTTGTCCAAAGTCTGGATTATACCCGTGAACACGACCGACCTGGCCACCACGGCGAAGACCGCCAACCTTTGGTTCAATCATTCTAGCAAAGCACATGTTGGCTGACTGCTCCATGGAAGCCGGACCCTTGTGGCTGCCGGACTGACCCTGGGACACTGGATCATACTCGATGCACAAACCCTTTATGAGGTCCCGGTTCTCGCCGCGATCACCCTGGCCGCGGTCATCCTGCACCACACGGTGATCTGTTATGAACGAGTCCGCTGACGAAGGTGATCCTGGAACATACTTGGCAAGATCAGTAGGATTGGGTTTCCAAGTGAGACGGTCTCCGTCCATGAGGAGCCAGATGAATCGTGGCTTGGGCTCATCGGCAGGGAAGTAGAGGGCTCGAAAGTGTTTCTCGCTTGGCCGGGTTTGAAAGTCCTTGAAAGTGCTGCAGATGGTATTATGCTGCACCGCGTTTTCTTGCTGGCATTTCTCGGAGCAGTATCCGATGTTGCTGCATCCGGTACATGAGATGGTCCATTCTTTCATGCATATCGCGCAACCGTCGACTTCATCGGTCTTAGCGTGGTCTTCGCTGTTGGATGACATCTTACCCAGGGTTGTCTGTTGTTGGCTGGATGCGTAAGGAAGTCGATAGATATAGACCAACCAACGTTTGCTATCAGCGTCGCATGACGAGCCGTGTGACGAACCCATGCACCTCATACCAGAAAAAAAACTGAACAGGCCTAGAGCCTACATCGACGCCAGGTCACCTATCTTGTAGGTTTTCATGTTAATGTAGGCTCTAGACCTGTTTAGGTTTTTCCTTGTATAAGGTGGATGCATCAGCTTGCTCGTCCAGCCAGGTCAGCCAAAAAGAGCAAAAAAAAGAGGAAAAGGGCAGAAAGAGAGGCATGGGTTCGAGAGCCCCCATTTCAGATCTAGGGCAAAAAAAGCAAAAACATACAACAGCGGGGATTCGCTAGTGGTCACCCACCTAACTACTAATCCGCCGGTATCATGCTTGTATATGGCTGAGCGGACGGGAAGCCTAATTCTCATGATCCTATGGGCGTATGTATCAGTTCTATCATTCCGCAAAAATATATAGCTGTTCACCGAGATCTGGACGCTAAAGTAGCTGGACCGACTGGGTCACAAGTTGAAGAAGGCCATACCAGCAACCACTGCACATCATGCGCGAGTTTGTCTAAGCCGATATCAACTTCGTCTTTCATTTCGTCGTCACTAATACACTTAGCCCTACACCCCCGTATGTACACCCACAACCTATCCAAGTCAAGTCCCAACCCTCAGTTCTTGTCATCAGGACTGAAGTTGATCGACACACCGTTCACACAGTGTCTCTCATCCTTAGGGTTACCGAACCTCTCGCCCTTGAAGATATGTCCCAAGTGACCCCCGCAGTTATTGCAGACAATCTCCGTCCTCATCATGCCAAGACCAGGGTCAGGCTTCTGTCCCACCGCGCCAGGAACAGCATCCCAGAACGCGGGCCACCCGCAGCCAGAGTCGAACTTGTGGTTTGCCTTGTAGAGGGGCGCTTCGCAACCGGTGCACTTGTAGACGCCGGCGTCGGGGTAGTGCTTGTCGAATTTGCTGGAGCCGGGCATTTCGGTGCCTTTCTTACGGAGGATGCGGAATTGCTCTATCGTAGTGTTAGTGACCGTGCGCTGGTAGTTGGGACAGGTGCTGTTGTACCTGGCGATAGCTGTGCTTGCCACTCGCCCTCGGGCTTCTGGACCGGGTAGTTCGAGTTGTCCGCCATACTGCTAGAAGATCCGAAAAGGGCGCCCAAGAAGGGGATATTTGGCATCGAACGGTATATGACAGCGCGCTGTGGCGTGTTGTAGATAGTGCGACCGAGCGTGCTAGTAGGACTCGATCGGATAAAAGCGCTTGTTGTGTTGGTGACCGTGTGGAAGGCGCGGAGGAATGTGGGGAAGGAAGGGATGCGCATATGGATTCGTTTTACGGGAAGGTGGTGGTCGTTGTTCTGGTGGAGTTATTGTTCTTCGGTGGATTGGAGATGATGCGGAGGGGTGGCGGAGAGCTTCCGCCACCGAAGCTTTGACAAATCGAGTACATGGCGTCATCAATGTCGCGCACCATCAACACCATCTTTCTTGCGACATCGTGTCTATCGCGACTTCATACCTACCTAGGTAGAGTCCCCTATCGTGGCTGTTGTCAGATCTAACACCTTCTGAGGCCTGAGATCTTACTGGGTCGACTTGTTGCCGCGACTCGGGGTTCTCGGCGCGCCCATGACGGCCTATCATCGCATATGTTCCTTTCGCATTCGGGTGTTCGGCACTGGCAGGTGGCAGGATGCGTCGATGATACGATGCTGACTGCAGATGTGGGCCAAGGCTGACTCCAACTCGCTACAGCTGGAAGGTAACATGTAACGTGGTCGCTGTGCTGCCTACATGCGCATCGTCAGATTGCTGTGTCTGTATTTTGCGAACAGTTGACGTACTCATAATCTTAACACGCTGGCATTGTACGTGTGAGCCGCCCACGACATGGATTTCAAGGAAAGCGAGCACGCGAAAGAGATTGCGGCATCGACCCCAACATCATCGAGCACAAAACCGAGTCCAGACCCAGACCTACCAATATCCTCCAGCCCCAAGCCTTCACGTAAGCCACCGCCGCAATATGGCAGAACCGCAACTGGAGCACCCGTCAATCCCCAGACTGCTTCTGCGCTCGCACAGTCGCGTCACAAAGGCAGTGGCGTTCCCGCATCAACCCTCGCTGCCCTCATGGCAGAGCCCGAGCCTGAGCCGGAGACTAAAGAGAAGAGATCGCTGCGCGAGCGCTGGAAGGACTGGAAGGAGAGGAAATCGTATGACAAGAATGGCGAAGAACCGGCATGGCAGATGCGCGGAAGCTCCACGCAATGGAATGTTTTTGGTTCACCTGTAAGCGAGGGAAAAATAGAGAAGGGTGGGCGTTGGAGATAGGCGTATCCACTAGGAGCAATCTTGGTAAGTCGTCTTAAATGAGTGAGGGGAGGCAGATGCTAACGAGAGGATGTAGGTGGGGTAGAAGTCGAATGATTAGAGCAGGAACCATGATGGCCGATGGTACATCATCGCTCCTTCCTGAACATCATAGAATTTAGCCACACAACTTCCTATATGCGATGTAATCCTCGCGCTTTCCCTTGCACCACATAGAAGAAACAGGTCTGCAAACCACATCAGGACAAAAACTTGCAAAGAAGGTGACCCAACATCAACGTAGGCTCCAGGCTGTTCAGCTTTTTCCTAGGTTGGCGTGCTTGCTTAAACTTCAATGGCATACCCCCATATCCCGCGTATCCCCTACTTGAACTGTCCCTCAACATCCCCCATCGGCCCCATCGCCATCTCAACCGCCCTCTTCGTCGCCCCATCCAAATCCTCCCTCTCCATCCCCAACGCCCCATTATCCAAACCCACCATGCTCTCATAATCAGCCCCCTCACTCCTCCAAACCCCCGCATAAAGCGCCTTCGCAAACCCCAACATCTTCCCCTCTCCCAACTCCCTCATCCCATCCCCAAACCTCTTCTCCACATCCTCATATCTGATCGTCCAATCCGCATCCCGCTTCCCGAGCACCCGGTGTAAACTATCCAGGATATCGCGTTGGGAAATCAGGAAGGAGGAAATGTAGACACCCTCGTTCCTCCATTTCTGCAGTGCCACACCATCGGTGGCATCTTGACGATGCACCGGAAGAGACAACAACCCCGCAACCGCCCTCCCACAAGCCTCCCACGTACTCACATTAACCTTCTTCATCCCGTCTCCATACATCGTCACGCTCCTATCGCGGATCCGGAAGCCAAACCACGGTTCCCCCATTGCGAGACTGAATTCGTACCAGAAACCACATACAAGCGCTGTGTAATCGAATCCTGGCGTGTTCTTCACATCGTCAATGTAGCGCTCGAAGTTGGCAGGTAGTTCAGCTTTCCCGCTGAGCGCGCGATCACCGATGCCGTACCCGAAGTAATTAGGCATGATCCAGTGGATTTTACCGGCCGCGGCGCAGGACACGATGCGGGAGTGGAGAGTCGGTGGGGCGCGTGCGGAGAGGGTTATGATGAGGAAGTCGTGGTTGGAGAGGGCGGAGGTGAGGGCTGCCTTGTCGTCGTAGTCGACCTTAACGATGGTGAGGTTGGGGTTGGTGGGGAGGGTGGCGGTACTGGTATGTCGAGTTAGAGCTGTGATTTGGTGTTTACCCGTGCCGAGGAGGTGGGTGAGGATGTGGGAGCCGACTTGGCCGGTGCCCTGATGGTGTCAGTGGAATGGATGGAGGATGGGATGTGGAGGGGCGTACGCCGATGAGGGCGACTTTGTGGATGTGCGTTAGTTGCTGGGTTGTGGAAGACATTGCAGATCGAATTTGATGCTTCCAAAGTTATATTGATGCGAGGGAGCGATATCGCTTTGACTGAGTTGGCAGAAGGGGTTGATGGGTGCTTTGTGGTTTGCAATTGCTGTCTCCCGCCCATCTTTATATCTGATCCCACCCACGTCAACAACCCAGCTACACATGAAGCCACGAGCACTTCCGGGAGGACGCTAACCTCACGTCGTATACCATACTGACATCAAGCCACAAAAGTCTCACGTCCCTCCCGATCTTGTCAGCCAGTATAAGCTAAGTCCGCTTAACGCCGAGACTGTGCAAAGAGCCACGCTGAAGCGGCATCCAAAAGCACGTTCATTTCATCCCTAGCTCTGTCCAGCAAATTCTCGTCGAGAAGGAAAGCGCCAAAGTCTTCATAGACTATCAATTTGAGACTGGCGATATGAAGGGTGCGAATGTAGTCCTACACCTACAATACAGCTAATGGAACAACAGCATCATCGGACGAATAGAAATCAGATCAGAGGATAAGCCACAACAAGATGTTCAACAATCTTGTTTGCCATCACAACACGTAGTGGTTGCGATGATGTAAGACGCAACAATTCCCATCGGACAATCGGTGGCAACCATCCACCGACCTTAGACACATCCTCCCGACCGCTCTAAAAACCTAACACAAGTTTATACCTATCACCCCGCCTCCGACCTGATAGATAGCGACTGCATCCCCCGTCTCACGACGACGCTGGTTATATGGTATAACCTTGTCCCGGAGCCTACACCACGCACCGATCAACATACATTGCCGATGTAACCCCAATCCTGTCACCCCAACTCATACCTAATAGCTACCAACCACATTCTCAATCTCAATACTCGGCTGAATATACGGCACAACCTTCGTCCTAACCATAGTCCTCTGCTCAAACGCATACGCAAAACCAATCAGACTCTCTTCACTCCACAGCGCACCCGCAAAAGAAATCCCAAACGGAATATTCGGTGCCGTAGCGTTCAGATCACCGCGTGAGTTCGTGACAACCGTTGTGTTGGGCGGCAGCGCACCGAGCGGGACAGTGACAATAGGTCCACCGATGATGGCGGAAATACCAGACGCAGAGCGCGAAGGAACAACGACGGCGTCAAGGTTGTATGTAGATAGTGCACCGAGGAGACCACCTTCGCCACCGAGGTACAGGTCTTCTTGGTAGGCTTCCCAGAACTCTATGTCGGTGTTTGAGAAGTTTTGGGATTGCGCGATGGAGCTGTCGAAGTCTGCTGTGTCTCTGTCGGGGTAGTCCTCCTGGGGGAAGTTTTGAGTGAAGTTACGGACGTCTTCTAGGCTGTGGACGTCGTTGGGGTTGTATGTGAGTTGCTCAAGGTAGTGTGCTAGGTTGGGGACGAAGTCGCCGTCGAGAACGATGCCTTCTGCGTTGGATTCGAGATACTGTTCCCAAGCGGTGTAGTTGGTGTTGTCGACAACGACTGCGCCGGCGGAGCGGAGGACGTCGAGAGCGGCTGTGAAGGCAGCATAGATGGGCGCGGATTGGGGACTGGGCGTGCCGATGGCGTTGCGCGGTATCCCGATTCGCTTTCCTTCCAACGCGTCCAGAGTGCATGCAGCAACGTAGTCGGGCTTGGTGGCGTTAGTTGCGTTGCTCGCCCAAGGAATCGCAGATGTGTAGTTATCGTAATTGTCAGGTCCAGAGATGGCTTGGAGAATGTAGGCTGCATCTTTGACGGTGCGGGCCATTGGCCCAACGGTGTCTTGGTGCTCAGAGATCGGGATGACAAGTGCTCTGCTTGTAAGTCCGACAGTAGGCTTGATGCCGACAACATTGTTAAGCTGGCTGGGAGAGATGATGGACCCATCGGTCTCTGAGCCAAGCGTTCCAAAAGCGAGACCCAGACTAGCAGCAACACCGCTACCACTACTGCTGCCACTCGGATCTTGACCGGGGTAATACGCGCCGTATGTTTGCCCACCCCGAGCAGTCCATCCATTCGAAGAGTTCGATGAACGATAGTTGGCCCATTGTGAAAGATTGGCCTTGCCGAGGATGATAGCACCAGCTTCTCTCAGTTTCGCAGCGACCGTCGCATCACGTGGGACTTTGGCACCCATCAGTGACCAAGATCCAGCAGTGTTGTTCATTTCGTCAGCGGTAGCGATATTGTCCTTGATGAGAATCGGGAGTCCATGGAGAGGGCTGCATTCAGTTAGCGAAGGATCATGCAGTTTCTTGCAGCGCAACTCACCCACGAAGCTTTCCGCAAGCTCGCTCCTCGTCCAACTCTTTCGCAATCGTCCAGGCATCTGGATTAATCTCCAATACTGCATGTAAAGTCTTGTTGACTTCGATGATGCGTCCCACATAAGCCTACATTATGTCAGCGATGCTGTCCAAGGTAGATCCATGCCTACACATGTTGGCAAGAAAACCGGAAACCTACCTGGACCAAGTCCAAGCTCGTAAAGTCACCAGCCTCAAGTCCAGCAGTCAAGTCATCTGCGGTAGCGTCCAGCAATAGAGGCAATTGAGGTGTGGTGACGTTGTATTGTGCGTACACAATCGTCGTCAGTGGCGCAAAAGCCACAAAGACCTTTGTTAGAAACCACGCCGAAACCATGATGACGGTTGCGAATGCTACCGTTCGGTAGGAGAGTGACGAGTGGATGCGGTATCGAGCAAGAGCTGCTCCATTACTGTGTACGATATCATGTGTCTTATAGTCATGCTTCCCGTGGTGACCCGAGAAGGACTGCCGCCGTGCACCCATGTCTGACCGGGATTATGCTGCGCGCGCGTCTTCCCCGCGGTGCAAATGCAAATCCGATCCTGGAAGTGTATCGATCTGCATGATAAGAAATGCAGATATGCGGTGTCACCCTCCAATTTGTGCCCGTTGTTGCGAGGTAACGGCTGGCATGCAGGTACTGTTCATCTGATTGACTCGCCACACCCTGGTACCTGATCAGCGCAATACACCGGTGTCACCCGAACAAAATATTCGAGCACCCTGTAAGCCCGGATTTCTCACTCAGCCGTTTCTCAATAATATAAACATTTCGAGCGTTCATTGTGTAGGCTGGGAAACTGTCGATGCGATTGCGGCAGGTAGGAATGCAGATCTTGGACGAGAAAGGAAGGTGCTAAGGGAAAGAATCGTGAGATCGAGCTTGACATGTGCCCGCGGATGTCTAACGGGCTGCTGGCGACGGATAGTTATCGATACGACTAATGCATATTTTCCATGATGTAAACACGGAGTTCTGTTTGGAGTTTTGGGGTAACCATTGCTATCGACCTGCCGTAATCGGCGCCTCTGGCTGCGTCTTACCTCCAGAACCTTGGTCTGCCGTCGGGCGCATGCATAGATTCTTGATCGGGGTAGGTATTTCCGCTTTCCTAATGTTGGAGTATATCGTAGTCAAATGTCATGCACCTTTGTCAATGGCGCGTTAAGTGGTATGTGGCGTTCAGTCGAAGTAGCCAGGGAAGAGCCATTGAAGCTTCTTCTCGGCCTCTGATCCGCGTCCCTCCTTCTTCGTCATGGCGCCTGCGAATCTCATCTGTCCGTCGAGGTGCTTAGCGAGCACCTGTTCCGTGTGCTCCTCCTTGCTAAGCTCGTTCAGCACCGCACCAACAAATCGCCTGGCGTTCTCAGCATTTGCCTTCATGTGTGCCATGACCATCTCCACATTGACGTCCTCTGAGCCGTCGCCCCTCCAGCAGTCGTAGTCTGTTGCCATGCAGATCATCTGGTATCCGATCTCAGCCTCGCGCGCGAGCTTTGCTTCAGGCAGAGCAGACATGTTGATTACGCTGCCACCCCACGACCGGTATAGGTTCGACTCTGCGCGTGTGCTGAATTGCGGTCCCTCCATGCAGATGATGACTCCCTTCTCGTGAAGTGTGATGCCGTCTCCTTCCAGCGCGTGTCCGCACTGCCTGACGATCTTGGACAGCTGCTTATCGAAGGGGTCGCCAAAGCCGACATGTCCAACCATGCCACCCTCGAAGAAGGTGAATGGCCGGATGCCCTTTGTACGGTCGATGATCTGGTCGGGGATGACAAAGTCGCGCGGTCGCACTTCTTCTTGGAGAGAACCAACGGCGGAGAAGGCAATGATGGTGCGTACACCGATGTGTCGCAGCGCGGCTATGTTAGCCTGGTTCTTGACCTCATGAGGCGCGAGTTCGTGGTGAAGGCCGTGTCGGGAGATGAAGGCGACGGGAATAGGCTTGCCGGTCGAGGGCGACGGGTGTTGTAGGATGGAGACGGGTGATGATGGTTTGCCCCATGGTGTGTCGACATCGAGAGTCGCGGCGAGGGTGAAGCCTGGTAGAGAAGAGATACCAGTGCCGCCTATGACGGCAATGTGAACGGGCGCTATATACGGGGTAAGCAATTGGCCAGACGAGCACGGGACGGAAGGTGCGCACCATCGTAGGTGCTAGGAACGCCAGCCATCTTGCGATATGGAATTGAGACGCGTCTAAACGAAGTGCGAGGTTGGAATTGAGGTTTAAAGAAGTTTGGAAAGTGTTTGACGCGTGGAAACATGCGCTGAGGGGTGACGCGATAACATTTTCTGCCATGGCGGGGTGCTCCGCTCCTTCCCCCGGGCCCTGATGGCGTATGCTTCGGCCAATCGGAGCTGACAGGAGTTACACGCTAGCGGCCTTCTTTGGGCAGCTTTCCCTCACATGCTGCCCATTATTTCCACGTCCTCAGCATGTGATTGCATGTTCAGATTGATGTTCTTCATTCGTAGCAAGACATTACCCATGAATACCCATCCACTCCTCCCTCATCGCCTCCGCCAAATCCCAAACCTGCCCCTCATCCACCACAAACTTAACCTTATACATCTTCATCTTCTCCACCTGCGCGTCGTCAAACAGCATCGCCATCGCCCCCTTGCAATGCTCATCTCTCTCCTCCTTAGTCTTCGCCTCCGTCACAAAACGAATCACTATCTTAGCGCCAGGCTTCAGTTCGAAGATGCCATCGAGAGCCTCACGCATTCGCTCCGGTGACTTGGGTATACCGAACATGTAAGCGCGGAACGAACCGCGGTCATGCGAGACGGCATTCAGGCCGATCTCGACGCTGGAGACTAGTGCTTTTGGGGGAATCCCTAGTTTCATCTCGTCGGTGGTGAGGAAACGCTTCATTACTCCTGGATCGTCGCCGAAGAGAAAGGTACTTGTTCGGTAGTAGTTTTCCACGAGTTCACGGTAAAAAGCTTGGCCAACATAATCTGTGTTCCAGTAGTGCGCGGGGAAGTGTTGTGCTTTCCATCTGTTGAAGTCGTACGAGTAGAGCCTCGTTATCGGATCCAGGGTCGTCCGGAAGTGTTCGCGCTCGATGAGCTCGCGGTCTCGTGTGCTGAGGTGGAAGTAAATCATGTCGCGGATCTCACGAGGTAGTTTGGTCATGATGTTGTTAGTAAGCTGCTGGCATTCCGTCCGAGCGACTTGTTCGACTGCGTCTCTTGTTGTTGGTGTCGTGTTGGCGAGATCTTTCTCCAGGCTTGCAAGCTCCTCTTGGAGCTTCGCGACACGCGCTTTGCGTATGTTTTCTTCGGAGAGTGCTCTATCATTGATGTTAGTCTGACAAGACATCGTGCAAGATGCGCATTCATGAGCTCGCTAACATACCTCAAAGCACGCTTCCGAAGGTGCATGCATGTACAAGCACCCACACCACCAATCTCATCTGTCTTTGAAAGCTCGTACATTACGATGCACATAATCTGTTGTTCGCTTAAGATGGAAAAGGTTCACGATGAGTTTATGTTCGCATCCCAAGAAGTTGTACTATTGTCTATCAGGGTGCTGCTGATCGCTTATTCAGGTACTCACGCCCTGCGTCTGCAGTCTGGACCCTGCATAACTTGCGATCGACAGCATACTCCGCTTACGCCAGCCATCAGGTCCTCGAAAACTCTACCCATATATTCGAGGGCAAAACACACCCGTTGGGACGGGGAGGAAAGAAGCAAGGAGCAGACAGCCTCATCGTCTAGCATTGCCAGCAGCTTCTGCCAGCTTCAACATAAGGAACTGTTAAAACTGGCTCATTTGCCAATCCTCTTCGACAAACCGCTCTTGATCTCCTCCATCGTGACGTCTCCATGATCAATAGTCACCCCCCACCCAAGCTTATCAAAACACAACATGACCTTTGTACCAGCAGCAGCTAGCCTACGCAGCGTCGGCAGGATAACTGGAATGACGGTGTCGCACTCCCAGTATTCAGCGTCGTGCGCATTCGACAACCAGTCACGGTTTACGAGGAGGTGTAAATCGACCTTAGTGCCAGCCTTGAAACCGAATAGTGCTTCGAGGTCTGCGAGCAGCGCTCGCCGGGGTTTGAGCGGATGTCTCCCGTACGGAATGGTCAACGGTGCCGTTACCCCGTCGAAGTCGTACTTGTCGCATTGTATGAACAAGGAAACGTTGAGGATGTAGTTGGCTGGTATGACACCAAGGTTTCCTCTATCCAGGCTCCGGAAGGCGCCTAGCCTTGCAAATTGGTCTCGTAGGTCGAACGTGGACGTGCGATAGTACTTTTCGAGCAGCTCTACGGAGAATTCTGGAATGACGTATGCGGTTTTGAAGAGATGACTGTGGGGTTCAACGAAGTAATACAGTGTTTCGCTTCCCTTGGCGCAGGGCTTGCTATCGCAATCGCGATGGTCGCAATGCTCTAGGACGACTGGGGAGTCGGGAAGGAGGTACGCGTAGATGTAATCGCGTATTTCGCGTGGACAGACTTCGAAGATCTTGTCGCAGAGGCTACGGCAAGTGACCTGAGCGTACTTGTTCAGTTCGTTGATGGTGTTATCTTTCTGTGCTTGCAGCTGGGCTTTACGAGCCTCGTGTTGCGCACTCTCCTTGATCCACCATTGTTTGAGCTTGACCTCTGTGCGGAGTTGCCTAATTTATGTCAGTAGCTATATGTCGCGATGTTCGTGCGGGACTTACTTGTAGCACTTGTCGCGGAGCTGCTTCTCCTGTTCTTCTGGCCGTAATAGGGCTGTCATTTTGGTACGAGTAAGGTGGATTGTAATGTTTACTATTTGGCAAGCTGAAGTAGTGGTTGAAGCGGGGTGTAGAACCGTGTAGTGAGACCAGGCGACCGATGCCGAGGATGCACCCCAATTTGTAGGCGAGGAAAGGAGTGGGAGAACCGGCCGTGCGTTTGCCTCGCGACTGAGAATGGAACTGCGGCGTAATGGTGGGTAATGTTACTTTCACTTGGTCTTCGACGAGCGCAGGCTTACTTTGAGTGAAGTGTTTTCTGATCTGTCTAGATACCGGAGTTGAACCAAAGTAACTATAAAGCTTTTAGAGGAGATGAGAATGCCAAAAGACTGTCTCATCACGGCCTGGCCGCTAAGTTCGCAGAGAGCAACTATGCAACCTTGTCTTCGCTATAGGAAATGATTGAATCGAAAAGAATGTGACCGCTCGCATAAATGAAAGGGATTACCACTGGGATCTCTAGAAGAGTCAAAGCAGAGATGTTGGTATGCGCTTTTGGGAATCGGCATCATCGATGTCGCTCATCTGTAAGGTCGTCATTCCATCTCCAGGATGGACAATCATTGGATACTCAGGATGGAGCATTAGCCCAAGATATCCCACCCCAGGCGTCGGGGGCGTTCATTGCCCAGGCGTCGGCGGCGTTGCTTTCAAAGACACCGCCATCATCAGAATCCTCGAAGGGTTCAGCATCAAGCTCAGTTTGTGTGATGCGCTTCTGTTCAACGTCGACATACTGTAAAGATTAGCTCATCGAAAACCAGCTCGCAGTAAGCACCTCAAACGTACCCCCCAGAAATCTTTAGTGATACTCTCGAGGGAAGTCTGACCCCACTCCGAAGTGAATGTGGCGTGTGATCTAGCTCGACTGGCTGTGAGCACTATACGGACCCGGGAACCCGCATCTTTCAGCCGTTGGAGAACGGGTAGGATAACAGGAACTACGTTATGCGACATCCACTCTTGTTGCTCAAGCGGAGTATGTTTTGTGCCTTGACGTGATGAGAGCCTGATGGTAAGCGCTGTGCCATGTTTGAAGCCGAAGAGCGACTCTAGCTTTACGAGAAGATGTTTCTGAGTGTTTTTGGTGCCTACGTTCTTGTTCTTGCGAACCTTTGAAGACGCTTGAAGAGTATTGTGGTTGCCCCGGACGTTGATGTTCGGGCGATCGATAAGCTCGAACTTGTAATCGTCGCAGCGGATATTGACATCCACCTTGGAGACAAACTCGACTGGCGAAAAGCCAAAGTCCCATACGTCTGTCGCTCGAAATGGGCCGACGGCTGCGAGATCTCCCTGGAACGCAAAGCTAGAGGTGCGATAGAAGTTTTCACCCAGTTCGCGGACCATCGCTGGGCCGACGTATTCGGGCTTCCACCAGTGATCTGCCCCATCATACGCAGGATCAAGACAAAGCTCTTGACCCCACGCCAAGAAGAAGTCGAAATGCTCAAGGTTTCCGTGTTCGTCACACTCGATGCTGACATCCTTGAAACCAGTGATGTAGCCGTAGATGGTGTCTCGAATTTCGCGAGGGAATGTCTTGTGGACTTGGGTGCAGAACTCTAGGCAGTCGTTCTTTGCAAAGGCCAGGAACGCGTCGGCCGTCTCGGTTTTGTCGTCATCAGAGGTCTCTTGCAGCTTTTTGCAGCGGCGTCGCAGTTTCTTGACCTTGGTCTTCGCAGCCGCCAGCTGAAGCTCGGTCTTGCGTTCTTGCTTCAGCGCCCTGCAAACTAAGATCAGCGATGGCTAAGGAGCAGTGAACACGACTTACTCGTTGCACTTCACGCGTAGCTGCTCACTCATGTTTGGAGTTGTTCCTGAAGTGGCCATCTTGGTAGGTGATTCAGAATGTGGGTTGGTGAAGAGTAGAAGGAGAGTCGGCCCAAGAGACAGACTAAATAGTAGACCGACGATTAAGGGACAGTCGGTAGCCGCGCGGCGAGGATAAGGCCACTAGCAAGTGAGTCCGTCTCCAAGTGATTGAAGGTAAAAGATGAGGTCGTGAGGCCCTTGATCTCAAGTAAAGGTAGCTCGTAATCTTCCCTTGGCGACTATGGAGACCTGTCACCCATTGGATAGCGGAGCCCACAAATCATCGGGCACCCATGGCCCGCCATATAATCGTATCCTCCTGACACCCGCCCAACTCTTTCTCGATTTCATGAAGCTCATCTCTATCAAGAGGCAGGTATTCATCGCGCTCGTCATCAGTACCGTCTTCTTCCGATTCCTCATCGTCTTCTTCGTCTTCGTCGTCTGCTTCGTGCAGTGTATCGTCGTAGTACTGTTCAAGCTCTTTCCGAAGCTGCGTTTCTTAAGTCAGCTTGCATAGTGATGCCACGGTAAGATCATCACCTACTCGTCTGAACTTGTCCGACCACTCATCGAGTGACATAGCTGTATTCCCAGGTATCATCAGGTTGACGTGATGCCCTGGTATGATATCTTCGAATGCATATCCTTGCCATCCTCGCGATAATCGACAGTCATTCGTGACCATGTGCACAACGAATTCGATCGTCCAACCAGGAAGGTCCGGAAGAAGTTGCCTGACATTGTGTAGTAAGATCAGGAGCCGGTCGTCATTATAGCGCACAACGCCCTGGATGTCGCGTAGGTAAATTCGTAACCGTGCTGGCTGGATCCGTAGTGTAAGATCCGCCAGATCACGGGTCAGAAGTCGCTCGGTTTCCGGCTCGAACTCGTCGTTGCAGTCGATTGTAGTCTCCAGCTGGCGGACTATCTCAAGAGCTTTGCAACTAGTACCGACAGCAACACCGTTGAGGAAGGGTTTGATGAGATGCAAGTCTGTGCCGAAGTCGAATGTACTCCTTGTGTACCAGTACTCCGCCAACTCTTGCCGTGTGGCCTCGCCAAAATGGTCATATCCGCCGCTGGCCAACAGACCGATGCTGTTGCTGACAAGCTTGAATGCGTCCGAGACACCGAGATCCTTCGATGCTACCACAGGTACAGTATGTTGGCCGTTGTGCCAGGCTGGGGGGCCCACAACTTGCTCATAGATCATGTCGCGAATTTCGCGTGGTAGTTTCAGCTGCATAGCTTCGCATACCGGACGACATTTGCTTTGCTCCACTGCCATCAGCTCCTGCAGAAGTGGCTCTCCCTCGCGATCTTCGAGACGTTGATACAGATTACTTTCAAGCCGATCCTCGAGCAGCATACATTCATCCTCGAGTAACATCTTCTCGGCCTGAATATCGTTGATTCTGTCTCGTATACGCTGGTCATCTGCCAACAGGTGTTGTGTGCGGTTCTGCTTCGCTCGAAGGTAATGGCTCAGGCGTTGCTCGAGACTACAAATGCGTCAAAACATTTCCAACACTTGGAAGGGCTTCCACTTACGTCTCGCCATCAGATACCTTCTTGGTGTTCGGCATGTCTGCGTCTTGCGCGAGAGGGTGTGGCTCTCGGAGTGGTGGTGGAGGAGGAAGCTGTGGAGGTGCTGCTCAGTCGACACGGTCTGTCTTGTTGCACGGAGCGAAGAGTCGCGTTGGGATCCGCTAGCTGAACCCCACGTCACGCGAAGTCACATGGCAATCGACGATAGCAACTTTGGAAAGCCGACCGACGTTTTGGGGTGTCAACCAGGTGGCCTGGAACAGCTGCGGGGGACGACGCGCCGAGAAGCGCGTGATCACGCGTGAGGTTTGCCCAGACCTGGTTAGCTTCCACGCTACCTAGCTTCCTAGGTAGCCTCCGCATCACATCGGTCTCCAAGCTGCCCCGAAATGAAACCACAGTCGCCAGCCTGAACGACACATGATTTTGATGGATTGGATGTGGATCAAAACAAACGAAAGCAGAACAATAGGTACCCATGCAGCCTGTCGTGAATATGCCTGCGCCGAGGCGCAGGTGCTACATACATAACCCCGCTCTGCGCCCCTGACCTTCCGCCTCCCGGCTCTCTCATCGCGACCGGTACTTTTGGTAATCTTGACGCTCTATCCTACTTTCGCCTCGAAAGGCGCGCCTGCAATTCATCTTGGCTGCTTCGCCACTGCTGTAAGGATCTCACAACACGAAATGGAAAAGTCCGGACGCTCCGCCACAAAGGCCATGGACACCAATCACGAGTTTGCATGTCGGGAACTCTGCGACAACGTAATTGCGACACTACCAAGGGAACTTAGAGACATGATCTACGAGTATGTCTTGTCTTCAGTAGTACGCGACGTTGCTGCATTGCCGACAAGCGAGCCAACTTCCTCCAAATCGGGCCCTCGCTACTGGCAAGCCGAGAAAGTTGGCGACGCGACTTCGAAAGAGATACTCGAAGTCTGGTATCGCTTGGTTCGTTTTCACATTGGACAGGATCTGGGTTATCTCGAACGCTTCCTTTCGTCTCAACCAGCACCCTTGGACACAACCCGCCAGCTGCTTGTCACAAAGATCAGTATCGCCTTCGACCTCAGAGATGTGGGGACTCACATGCAACCATCGGGAGGAGGGGTGGTGAGGGACTCCGCATCCCGTACACGCATGCTAGAACGACTGGAGCACCTGTTCTTGTTGAAGGAAGGCGCTTCCATCCATGTCTATGTCATTGTACCCCATAGCTACACCATGCTCGCAAGGACACCAGATCGATATGCATATCAGGAAAGAAAGGTATTGCGTGAGTTTACCGCCACTATAGCTGACTTACTGTCACGGTTGGCGGCTGCTGGATACGGCCTTTCCACCGGCATCATGCTATCGTCAACATGGCCGAACAACGGCTCACTCTATGACTCGGTTTCGGAAAAGTCGACCAATGGTACGCGAAGTTGCTTCTTCAGTGGACATGGCTCGAATCTGGTGTGGCTGTAAGTGTCCGGCTGAACATGGCGGTAAACTCTCGGCTGACAATCAACAGGAGACGCACAGCACCTACCACTTCACGCTGCAACTGTCATGATCTAATTGGGATGACATCTACGCCCCGCGGATGCGTGCTACAGTGCCAAGACGCTATCTAGATACCCGCGCTGCTGCCTAGCCCCACACGATGCCAAATCGTCCTTGCGTGCCATCTTTTCGCACTCCAAACAAATCATCACCAAGGAAAGATAGGACCATGCGTCAAGAAACAACTGCCAAAGAAGTGTTGAAGCTGTATCAACAGGCTGTTGCGTAAGTCCAGACAACCCTCATCCATCCGGACTAGCATTGACGCAAATTATCAGGGCCCGTCAGCGTATTAAATCGCGATATACCTCTGGAGAAAATGAGGCGACCAGAAGAGCCATGGAAGAGATGAAAACCTTTAATAGCTATGGACAGAATGAGGCCGCCAGAAAAGCCATGAAAGAGATGAAGACCTTCGATAGATATGGACAAGCGTCTTGCAGGTACATGTGCCAAAAGATCCTCATTTCGCTGCCCCCAGAGTTGTGTGACATGATCATCGAACGCGTCATAGGCCACAGTCGCAGGGGCGTCGCAGCGGGTGGAACTTGCGAGCCCATATATGCTTATGGAGACCATCAACCAGCCGCGCATTACTGGAACGTCGAGTATGTCGGAAGGACCATGCTGGCGAGAATGATGGCTATCTGGTACCGCACAAACACTTTGAATATACAGTGGCGCCTCAGAGTGGATCTGAGGCGATTCCTTAACGAGGACGCCCCTTGTATACACTCCCCGCGTTATAAGCTGATTACGAAGATCTGTATCGTCGTATCTCCAGATTTTTTAGCGTTCGACCCGAAGAAAGACCGTCCTGGTAGTATACTCTATCAGATGTATTCTCCTCGAAGCTGGGAAGAACAAATTCGAGATCTCGAGCTACTGTTTCAGTTGCGAACCGGTGCATCGATACTCATTCTTCTTGAGTATTTGGATACCTCGGCGATGCCCGATGATGGTCAAGATACTCTCCTCTTGGAGGGTACTGCCCCCATGATTGAGTGTCTGTGCCGGTTGAGAAAGGTTGGCTACGTTGTCGGTGCCAGCCTTGCTGGTTTCGGAGATTACCGCGGCTTGGTAGACGAATTTCAGTATCGTCTAGAAGAGATGGATGCGTTGGAGCAGGTAACAAACTGCATGCCTGTGGACGTCACAGGCATGGCTTGGCGGTGAGTGCCCAACCCTTTACAATCCTTTGGCTCCCAGCTGACACGCATTGGAGGCCATCAACGGTGAAGGCTTACAGATTGTAATGCTCGCCGTTGATTTTGTGCTTGGCTGAACCGTATCTCTCGTCACGCGTCATCCACGTGGTGGCCAGGCTGTGACTGCCTCGGCGTCCGTTTGTGCTATCTAGTGCGCAATCAGCAACAACCACCAAACTTTGTCACACTGCCTTACAACCGCAGCTATCACTTCTATCTCGTTAAGCCACCACCAAGAACCTCGTCCTGTCACATACTGAATCTATCGCGACTTTGTGTGCATCACCGGGACATCCACTGACCCTTCCCTCTCATTCGACCGATGAGCAAGGCTTCCACCAGCACCCCCGTACAAAACGCCGTCATGACCACTACCGGGGTCGTGAGCTCCAGCAATTGGCGTATTGAGGTCAAAAGGTAGGCTTGCTTCTGCTCACCACGTGCACAAGGCTGACATGTTGACAGGACGCTCAACACGATCGCTAGTCTTAGCGAAACCTTCCATGACAAGGCGGACAGACTTGACCAGATGAAGAGAGCGAACCCCAAAGCGAGGCTCATCCGAGAGAAGCAAGCGCTGAGGAGGGCGAGAGGAGATCTACGCCTGGCACGGACGAGCTTCACCGATCAGATAGAGGCTCAGGCCAAGGCTCTCTGTCGCCCTTTTTGCGAAGCTGTCCATCAACGACTACCCCAGGAACTACGCGACATTATTGCTCGGCATCTTTTGACCGAAAGCTCTGTCACTTTCCTCTCCAGCAAGGATAGCAAGATCTCTTTTGTCAATGGCCTCTCGACTCTACGACACGCTTTCGAGGAGGAATGCACCGGCATCGGACTGCACGTGGATATCATACGTGAGCTGATAAATCAAGACGCCCGTTTCGATTTTCGCGCTCGATACGAGCTACTGGGCAAGGTCTTCGAGCACTACGCAGTCGACGAGCGCGGTGCCCTCGATCTTACTTCCAAAATAGGACGGTTGAGCTTGCTGGTGACAGAGCACCATTTGAAAAACCGTGAGGTTGTTCTCACTCGCCTCGAAGAACTGTGCAGACTCAGCAAAGGCGCCAAGGTTTTCTTTATCGTCGAGACGGGTCACGGTACGAAGGCTCAGACCATCCGCAAAGTGCGACGCGTTCTGCGTGTTCTCTTCAAGCTACTTCGACGCCTTCGCAAGCTCGGTATCCACATCTATGTCGTCGTCAACCCGGCTTATTCCGCTTCACAGGTCAGGAACGATAGCGGTGACACCTTCTCGGTCATGCATGAAGGTCCCTGGAGGTACGTCATGACGCCAGGTAATGCTACGTTCACGGTTGAAGGCTTTGAGAGGCGTCTAAGATATCTCTTTGGAACATACGGAGAGCGCTGGGATTCACGATTTCCGCCTCGGGATGGGTGAGTTGGGAGGCTTCAGGCCATCATGACGGGGTGTGTACGATCGTTGCGGATATTTATTTAGCCGGTGAAACAGTTTTTGTATCGCAAATACATGTTTCCACACGACAGCGCAAAGCAACTCGATGTCCTCTGTATTGTATCCGGTAATTCCATCAACACAACGTGTCCACAGGCTAGGTCCTACCGGTGACCCTCTTAGGATAACCCACTTCCACTCCTTCTAAATCATCGTCGTCGTAACAGGACCCATCTCTTTCCCGAGTCCACCAACTCCAGTATTCACGGGAGCGTGTGTTGTCTGCAACGTCGTCATCATTGCTGTCCCAGTATCTTTCATTCGTTCGCTAATGACGGTAGTCACAGTAACCTGTATCGTTCTTGTAGAGCGCACCATACTATCACCAGCCTTTGGGTGAAAGCTTCCCTTCTGCAAGAAGATTATGAGAAAAGCTGCGCCTGTGGCTGTACCAGCTAAGATGACGAGGAAGCAGGATAAGGTCATAGCGACGCGAAAAGTATCGCTAAGCCACAGACGTTTCCATGGAGGCGGCGGTGGGAGGCGGTATGGGAGGTGCTTGGGGAAAGATGTTGGGGCTTTGGCTTGGGTTGCGGGTATCGTTGGACTTGGAAGGGGCATCGCGCGATCTTCATCAGAGGCACTATTGCTAGCCTCCTCCCATGAGTCTCTTGTTGAAGCGTAAAGTTGAGGTGGAGTTGACGGGTGGGTGAAGCCACCAGTACCTGGAAGGCTGATCTTTTCGTCGTGGCTTTGCATGCTGGACATGATACCACTGATAAAACTCTGGGTTTGCGAGTTTGAGCTAGTAATGAGGCTTTGTGGTACGATAGTTGTGATTAGTGAAGTACAGATGCTGGTCTTGCGAAGGGTACGCTGAGCCAGCGATGAGTCGTATAGTGACTACGCCCAAAGACTGTAGTTACACAGTGCCGAAATACATTACAAAGAAGGCAAGACACCGATAACCGCGCTGCAAACACTGCAGCATGTGTACTGACATCACCGAGGTATAGATCGCTACATATGAGACGTTCTAGTCATGATTCGTGCTACTCGTGTTGAAGATCAACATTCCCAAAAAATGCTCGATTTCATAGCTAAATATCCAGTATTACTAACACACCGTCAACTCTGCTCCTTCTTAACTAAAGTCCAAAGCCTACGCATGCGCAGACGAACAGAGCCTACACGTAAATCCTCCCGTCCATGGTACACACATCGCCCGCTCGAACTTCCCATCTGCGAAGCAATTCCCCCTGCACTCCTCTACAGACGGCCAGCTACCCTTCTCACTGCATATACTTTCCACAGGCTTCACCGGCGTCTGTCGGACTGGCGCCTCAAACGGTACCGTCTTCGTAGGCGTCGCACCGACCGTTGTTGTCATAGTCGTTGGGTCTTGCGTTGTGTGGACTGGTGTGGATGTAACAGTAGTCGTTTGGTAAACTGGAGGTGGCTCGTGAGGACATCTTGATAGGCCAATTTTGATGCCGCCGAGTAGGGCGGCGATGAGGAGGGCTATGATGAGTATCGCGCAGGTGGGGATGAGGAATCTTTTCTTAGTGAAAAATGAATGTCGTTTGTAGAATGGGCGAGGCGGAAGTTGGGCTTCGTCGTCGTGAGGGAAGTAGGGGTGGTTGGGGTCGATGTGGTCGGCGGGGACGCCTGTGCGTTGGGGTGCGATACCGGAAAGCTCGATGTTGGGTCGTTGAGACATGATTATTAGTATAGCTGCGCTGTCGTGGGTTGCTGGGTCGCTGTATATCGATGGTGCTCTTTAGCAGGCGGCGGTCAATAGGTTGCATAATGAGGAGGAAAGTGGCGGAGGACGTTATGTAACCGCTTTGACTACGGTGAAAGAAAGGCGGCCAGCGAAACATTATGATCACAGCGCAAGCACACTGCTCCGAAATTGCACAATGGAAGTCTAGGTCAAAGTTCGGCAAAAGATGCAATGTCGCTGGCATGTTGACGCGTAGACCTGACACCTTACTTATGGGTGTCGCACTATCCAGGTCGCCATCGGCACGTAAATAGATTATAGCCCGTTATGAAGCGTCAATGGCCTTTCGAATATGTGCCCGCCTCACCTTTTCAAACTGTCCGTACACGTACAATGCATGCTCTAGCTTGAGGAACATACTTTTCCCAGTCTTCTTGCAACAGTTGTTCCGTCTCATCTGCCAAACATGTTGTATCATCTGTGCAAGCAATAAAATGCCTTGTCCCTTGAAAGTCAAACCAAAACTGATCTACCTCACTATCAGTCATTGCAGCCTTTTCAATGCCTACTGCGGTGATCGGACAAGCATGACCACGAAAACGTCCAAGTCTGTCACTCTGCCATACTTTAGGAAAGTGGCAATCAAAGTTGAACTGATCGGCCCATGCGATGTGCAACGCGTGAGCAGCTTGGGTCAACGCCAAGTCGACATTCTTAAATGTGGCTCTTGCTTCTGCCAATTCCTCGAAACATTGGCTTTGAAGCGCGATCAACATCAGGTCCAAATAGAGTTGATCAGTCGGCTTTTCATAATCGACTGTGACACTCTGATCCAAACGTACCAACCCGAGCAAGCCGTAGACTTTATCGAGCGGATCTACGCAGGCATTAGACATATAATCGCCCAGTACAATGCATATATCGAGAGATACGAATCCGCCAGTCCTTCGCAACGAACTCTTACTCATAATATAATACGGGGTATTGGGTACGGAGCGCCGGAGATAGTGATCGAGGGTTTCAAATCGACACTCCCATCCACGTGTGTCATTCACAAGCCAGACGCCTTTCACAAGGACCCTGATCTGCCTCGCTAGTATGAACTCTTGTACAATCCAAAGTCTTCCGAAGTATTCATTGTGAAGGATATAAGCCAACGCTGCTTGTTCTCCAACATCCTTCCATGCACATGCGGCATCGTACATGTTATCGAACTTACCGCATCCGCGTTCGGCGAGAAGTTCGGGCGGCGCGCAGGCTTTCTCAGATCCGTCGCCCAACCAAGCAATAACTGACGTAGCTTTGCTGTAGATATCGCTCATCATCTGCACCTGATGATTGCGCTCAGCAGTACTCAACTGATCAATGCACAGCTGATCAATCCAAAGATATCGATCTGAGGGCGTCTTGTCGCGGCATTTCCGGAACTCCGTGAGAAACTGAAACAGATTTTCGCGGATTTCAAGCCTTCCATTTGCGATGTAGACGTCGTGATTTGATGGTGGTCGACCCCAAACATATGACAAGGCTGTGTATGGCGGGGCTTCCGAGATTTCGAAGACTTCGATGTCGAGACGTATAGCGTCGTCGTTCTCCAGCGGATCCAGAAGCGTGACAAGTCGTATTTGCTGTGTCGCATGGTCTAGTGGCTGGTATTCGTAGTCGGCAATCGTCGAGTTGGCTGCGGAAGACATATTCGCTCCACGGCTGCCTTGCGCCTCGACCTAACATGTTAGTACGTGTCATGTATGCGACAAGCACCCATATCACCTACTAGGGCACCATGCAGCAGACAAAGTAGACTCGGCGTACGATCAAGCCTTGGGAGGACGTGGGGACTATGTGAGGTTTGTGGTGATCGCGATAAGGAATTAATACAGCATATTGAATGTAAGCGGGGAAGATGCGCGTGCCAACATGTTGCTGACTGCGTGGGCTGTGCAGACGTCTGTGGCTTGCACGGTTGAGAGTCTGACCAATGAACAGTGAGGCGCCCAAGCAAGCGCTAGACCTTATCAGGCTAGTAGCTGCAGGAGCATGTTGAGCAGATGGCAGTGCAGTGACTTTGAACGACACCGAGGACTAGAGTCAAATCAGATCAGCGGGTAGTACACTTAACTCAGGTTAGCGATCGTGTGGACATAGATTTGATGGGTATATAGCGCCTTGGATGGGTATCGCATGGAATCTCTCAGAGCTCCAGAGCCAGGAATACCAGTTTGGTGTAAGGAAAAAAATTCCGCTTTCTTTCGACCTTTGTGTTTCTCGGGACCATGAAGACCAACACAGTCTGTAGGCCTTATCCGTGCTCTCTAGGTATCATTACCATACCGACTATCAGTACCACTGTTGCGCTTACGCCGGGTCTCGGTGCTTCGATCATCATTGCCTGGGGCCGGCTCTGGACGTCCATTGGCTCGCGCCTGGTCCTCAATGATGTTACCATGGCTCCCAGAGGACCGTCGACTAGGGCGTGAGTTGCCTCGGCGTGGTTGTCGTGGAGCATTTTGCGGGGGGCGGTTGCTACCGTCGTTGCTACCAGGTCCTGTAAAGCGTCGAGCTCCGTTAACGCGGTCAGGCGGAAGCTGGTAAGACGGGCCGCGCCATCGCGAACTGTTGCGCTGCCCGTTGATTGCTCCGGCCTGGCTGCTGTCTCGAATCGCGGGGGCGGGTGTGAGCATGCTGATATCGGTCTTTGCGCGCTTGGTAGGGGCCGTCCTCATTGTAGTGTCACTGTCGGGGGCTCGGCGTCGGGAGCCTCCATTGACACCTCGTCCTTGTAGGCCTTGGTCCTGTAACACTGTCAGCTTTGACCTCGAGAACTACCTAACATTCGAAGACATACATGGAGCTGAGCACCCTGTTGGCTATTTTGACTGAGCTGCTGATCCTGCTTCGTCTTCTCTGGGCGGACCTTGTCGTCTATATCTTGGTGACTGTGCTTGTCCTTGTCTAGTCGTGCCTCCAATTCCTCAATCCACATGTCTTTGGGGGTGCTCGTGCTTTGTTTCTGTAGAAGTCTTCGATTGCGCTTCTTAAGAATCGCGTTGAGGACGTCTTCCCCGATCTCTCCGCACACTTCGATACGAGAGTCATGTGGGAGGGGAATAACGTCTAAGACATTTCCAAAGGCGCCCGTCTTGGGTTGGTATGGGCAACCTACTTCTATGTCATAGACGCCTTTTTCTGGGGTGCACGCGACCTTTCTGCCCAGCTCTTCGTCCCAGCAGTAGTATTCTGCATCTTCTGCTTTCTTGAGACCGAAGCAATTCACGCGGACTTGTATGGGCTTCAATAATGGTCCGCGTCCTCCGGAAGTGCCGAGCTTTAGGACCTCAAGTTCGGTGGTGTTGTCGATGACGATACCGTATCTCGTCTTGAAACAAAACCAGCCAAACTGCGTCTGGACAGCATTGGGGTCATTCGCTTCGCAAAGAACCACATCAGGGAAGTTCACAATCATGCCTTTCACGTATTCATCTTTGTCGACAGGGGTGTGGTCGTTCCATCGTCGTTCCTCGGATTCTCTTCGCCGAGGCGGGCCGGTTCGTTCGGAGACCTCTTGTGTAGACAACATTGTGAGCGCTGTTGACTGCCAATAGACCAGCGCAGAGGCGCCTGTCTGGAAAGGAAGTTGGGCCGAAGGGCGAGTTACTGTGGCGACCACGCAGGGTGTCGTAGATTTGGATTACACGGTCGTGGAACTCGCGCTCCTGCGGTAGGGGGGTTGCGTATTCTTTCTCCGCAGCGTAGCGCTGATAGTCTGTATATACGGAGGGCATCGCAAGGAGTCAAAGCCGCTCTGGCCATGTGGCGCTATACTGTTTCAGGAAAGAGAGATGCCTGAGATGTAAATAAAATACTGGTGTTACTTAGTGAATAGAACGACGGAGCGGAGCCCTACTTATTCCGCGGTCACCTAGCTGATCAAGCTTTTTGCGCACTCGATTGCCCGCCCTCTCCGCAATCGTACACCCTGTGGCAATCTACTTTTTTCGCCGTGATCTTCGACAAGACCAAGACACACAAACCTGGTTATTTCCACGACCGGGCAATCGACGCTTCAGGCAAGATTAGGCTTGCATTACACAACGACTTTCCCAACATGTCTACCACTGAGAGTGTTTTGAAGACCGCTATCAGCCTGTACAGGGCGGTAGCGGGCTATGTTCCCCTCTTCCGTCGCTGCGAAGGCCAAATCTACCGAGACAATGGACGCACTGGTAGTGGCGCTGAAGAGCGTCCAATTCCATCAAACGTCGAAATGTCGTCATTGCCTACTCAGCTTATGATCACCTCCGTCCAGTCCGGAAAAGTCAAATACGAAACGATGTTACAACTCCGATCCAAGGCGGACTTCATCAAAGCGGACATTGCGATGGTGAAGGCGAACGAAATCGACGCTCAGTCGACAGTCCAGTGCAAAAAGGCGGCTGTTGAGAGGTTAACCCGTCAACTACAACGTCGGGGTGGCAGCGGAGTAACGAAAGCTCAGCAACGTTGCCTGAAGGTTTTAGTTCGCGAGCGCGACGCAGCGACGAAGACCAAACGAGAGATGCAGAGATTGGTAAAGTCTCTTACAAAAGAATACGATGGGAATCTCCGCTCCTTTGCTGAAGTCGTGATGGAGCTCCAGGATACGTTCCTTTTACCAAAGGAGAAGGACAACGATGTCATAGCAGAGCAGCATGAGGACGGATTCGTGCAGGGAGAAGTGGAAGGTCTGGTACAAGAAGACGAGCAAGCTCAGACACAAGAAGACGGTGGTGTCCCCGAAGTGAACAGTGTCCAGCCGAACAATTCGCCAGGCACCGCCCAAGAGATCGAGATTAGCAAATCTCTCGCCTGTAATCAGCCGGTAGAGGCTTCGCAACCCGACATTCATAACATCGTGGTTAGTGCTGCCTGTCTTGACCAGCAAGCCGAGGCCCAGTCTATCGACATCGCTGTTAACGACAATGAAACAACGTTGAACCCGCCAGTAGAAGACAAGGGTGGCTCGCCATCCAGCAGAACAAATTACTCTGCTACCCACTTCGAAGACCCGCAAGATGTGCAGGACATGGCTAGATCAGAAAATGATGGCGATATTGATGGTCGGACAGTCCATGGAGTGCAAGAAGTCGGGATCGGACAGGAGACCGGAGAAGCACTTCCCCACGAAGACCCATATATCAACAGTTCCAAAGAAGAGTGGGATAGGATTGAGCAGGCCATAAAAAAGCTCGAGCGATGTGAGAAGACTTATTGGGAGAAGAAAGAAAAGTTCGAACAGCACTACAAAACGTTTGATGAAAAGCTGGATAAGTTCTGCTCAATCAACCCACGCTTGAGTAGAGCGGATGCAGAAAAGAAATTCGGTCGACACTTCCTCCAGGTAGGGGGCAATTTCCGTTGTTCTTTGGGTGTAGCAGAGACGTCGCTCAAGAAAGCCCGGATTGAGGCGAAAGAAGCAGGAGTCCACGATTGCAACTCATGGGACCAGGAATCTGGCTTCCTTTCAGTGGCGGGCGAAGGGCCGGATCCAGAAGATACTGGATATATGAGCGATACTCGTGATCACGAAGTGGTGAGGGAGTGGCTGCAGATGCCCAAGGGCCCAGATTTCATGCAGCCTTCTGAGTTCAAGTTCGCGACGTCGAAAGTGAACGTCGATCCTTGGGAGAGTCATTCCACAAGGGGAGACTCAAGCAAACGGAGGAAGATAGACGAGAATGTCGACACTTGGGAGGTTCAGTCTTCCACAGCGTACTCAAGCAAGCGGCGGAAGATCGATGGGGATGTTCCTTGGGTGGCGCCCAACGATAGCGATGACAGCGCGTATGGCACCGCCAAGGAGGAAAGAGGAGACCAGAAGCAATCGGAAGGTCCAAGGAAGAGGCCTCGCGCCAGGTCAGAGGTAGCCCACAAGCGACGTGCCCGATCATTCGACGCGCATCCGGGGCACAAGGTTGTCAAAGAGATGTTTACCGACATGCCTGTAGAGGATCACAGCGTGAGTGTTGACCCCTCCGTAATAGTCGATATCAAGTACTGACATTTCCACAGGTTTGGATGAAGCGAGATTACCGAGAAGACGTCATCATGGTTGATGACGAAACATTCGACGACGAGACCTGAGAGACCAGGTAACAAACGGACGAATTGCGAACATTGAAGTCGATGGAATGGGAGGTGGTAAACCAACCGCTGAAGCAGCTACGTGCTGTTGCCGGATGTAGCAAGTCGAGACCGGAGGCGTTGCGGAAATGATCCCAGAGGGAAGCGACCCATCGCGCGATGAATATAGGCAGCGTCGCAATCTTACAGAGCAGCGAAGACTGTTTCGGTAGCATATGTAAGTAGGCCACTGCGTCAAACGCGTCGAACGCGTCGGAGATGCAGAGAGATCAACCGGCGGAAAGGCAGAGCAGAAGGAGTCGATGCAAAGACATCAAGAGACACCCCAAACAACACCGCCAGACAAATCGAGAGGCCACTGGACAAAGCTCAGGGCGTTTGGTACGCATGCAAAGACATGCCGCCGATGCAAAAAATCGGGGAAGAACTTGGTGCAAAGATATCGGGGAAGAACTTGATGCAAAGATATTGGGGAAGAACTTGGTGCAAAGATATTGGGGAAGGACTTTGTGCAAAGACATCCATGGATCGGGAGGAAGTCCGGCGCCAAGACATCGGATAACACACCAGCCGGGCGGTCTGTGCGCAAACTGCACAACCCTCGTGGCACACCACAGTACCTTGGAAGACACACAGCACAAAGACTAGAGCGCGTATTTGAATCAGACTACGGACTGATCCTGATTCATGCTGAGCCTCCACACACAATTACGGTACCGCGGTGACACACCGGACACTCCAGCGAACAACATCAAAGCACCAGAGCTATCGCAATCATACCGTATACCAACCGGGCTGGGATAGACGCAGTAGTAGTAGTACCGTATACCAAAGAAGACATACAACTTGCCCGAGGATGAATCTTTACACAAACCAAACATGCATCCTCCCCACCTCCCTAACGCACACCCCCTGCCCTCCATCCTACTCCCCATATCTCCCAATCAAATCCTTCATAATCCCATAAGACCTACAACCCATCAAGTCAGCAACAAACCCTCACATCCAATCCCTCCAACACAAACTTACTTCTCTCTAAACCTGTCTCCCCCATGACAAGCACTCGCATGCAAGTTCATATAAGCACAGTAAAGCCTGCCCCTATCCTCAAACCCATCAACCGGCTCACTCTTCCCCATAATCTCAACATACGCATCTGTATATTCTTGCCGACCCAAAATCCTACTAGGATCCCCGCGCCAAATCGCAATTTCCATCTCGTGGTGCGCGTAGTATGCACAGGCGTCGAAGGCGTAGATTTCGCCTGTTGTGGTGTCGGTGCCGATGTTGCCGTCCCAGAGGTCGCCGTGGATTAAGGTGGGTTTTATGGTGCGGCCGTGCGATGTGAGGGGGTTGAGGAGGGCTGGTACGACGTGTGTGATTAGGCGATCGGTGCATTCCTGTAGGTCTTTCCATGGCCCGTTGATGGAGTGGTTGAGTTTCATAGCGCCGGTGAGGAGCTGGATGAAGAAGTCTTTCCAAGTATCTTGCCAGGCTGTTTGCTGGGGTAGGTTGCCTTGGCAGGTGTTTATGTGGAAACCGAATTGTTCGGTTGGTGACGCGCTGGAGAGGTGGAGCGTGGTGAGTTTCTTGCATAGTTGTTCTGGGTTGGGGGGTTGGGTGGTGTCCATGTCTAGGAAGGCGCAGAGGAAGAAGTAGGAGGCGGGGTTTGAGACGTTGAGTTGGCCGTATGCAAGGGGCTCGGGAACGAAGGTGGGTGCGGCTTTGGAGAGGGCGCACATTGAGTTGTATTCGCCTTCGAGCATGGCTTTGCCTTGGTCGCCATCTGCGCACTTTATGAGCGTTAGCTGGGTTGCTACCAGAGTACCTTGTTATCGACGGGAGGTTGTAAGTACCTTCAGGAAGTACGACTGTGGTTCCCTGTCTATGCTTGTGGTGTCTATCTTTGCGGTGACTGTCCATTTTGATGCGCCGTGTCGGTTGCAGCTGTGGACTTGAGTGCCGGGAGGTAGTCCTGCTCTACGATTAGTAGCTACCTGGGTATATTACGCAGTGAGATGTATGATACATACTGTCTATGACGACCTGATCGAGTGGGAAATCGCCTTCGACGGGTCTACCATGACTTGTTCCCCGAGTCACCAAAGGAACTCTGCCTAGTGACTCGGTGGGCGGCTGCCACTGCTCTACTAGTTCTGGGTCAGTAGACATGATCAATACAAGTCGTTTTGCTTGTTAATCCTTTGAGAAGACGGAGTTGTGCTTGGGAAGTCCTACGTGTTTCTATGCTACAACGGTCTGTGAAGGCTGACACTGGGTGTTCGCGCTTATGACCCATGACTACGTCGTCATGATTGGAATTCATTCACAACAACAGGGGCGCCCTTGAAGGTTTCAGATATGTATCTTGTGGTTGAATGAGTCATGTGCATAGGCTTGTTGTCGGCTCGCGCTTTGTTCAGCATGGGCTGTACTACATTGAATACCTGCAGTCACCGAGCTAGCGATAGTCTACACAGTCGAACAACGACCTGGGTATCTCCCATACGAATCGAAACAACGCGTATACCCTGTCCCAAAAATGCTTTTAGAAATGCAAACCGTCCTTCACGCCCAAATACGCCATGCTATGCCTTCTGCTACGAAACAGGAACAGTTTGCTAGAAAGTGTAGTTATTGTTACCACCATACTCCATCCCCGCATCATCGCCCAGATGATCAACGTGCATAAACTCGTCGATAGAAAAAGGGTCCGCCATATTACCGCCACCCATATTAATATCCATCCCATCGTGCGACTGCTGTTGTTGACCCATCGGCTGGCTCGGAGGATCCAGGCCCTCGACAACGCGCGTGCCCTTGGGCACGGAGGCTCCAAAGGCGCCAATGCGATCGGGTTGCGCCACACTGGCTCCTTTGCCCTTGCCTGTTGCATCGCCACGCGAGTTCATCCAGATACCGTTTCCGCCCTCGCCGTTCTTGACTGCTTTGGCAAAGGGCTCTTGGAAGACAAGACTGGTCTCGTACCAACGGCCTTTGATGTCGTCGATGTCGATCTTGTAGGCTGGCTGGATGAGCTTCCACCACGCTGCGGTGCGGGTGAGGGGTACGAGCATGCGGTTTCGCCATACCATGTCGTGGACCATGCGCGATGGGATGTTGTTGTTCTGTTGGGGTGGTTTGGGGGGTAGGTTCGCGTCTGGAGCATCCAACGTGGCGTAACTGTAAACGTCGCCTATAGCAATGACTTTGGTGGTGGGCGGGTTAACAAGGACTTGCTCGATGATGTCGGTTACGACCATGAGATCGGTTCCCGTAGCGCCTATGCGCAGACGGACAGCCTCGCCTCTCCAGATCTTCTCGGCGCCCAGATGCATGCCGTTATACTGTCGCACTTCGTTTCCCTTGTCGTCCTTGTTCGTCTTGAGGCACTCGAAGAGTGTATACGTGGTATCGATGGCTTTTGCAGCTAATATAGACGCGTCGACAGACGCTATGCCCTCACCTCCCTGTCCACTAATGAGTGCCCTCCAATCCGTGTTGTGGTATTCGAACTGAGGGTTCTGCTGTAGGAAGGGAAAGGTGCAGCTGGGTGCAGACCAGGCGAGCCAAGGCTTGACATGGTCATCGGTTTGTACGAGTTCTTGGGGAGGCGATTCAAAGGGATGCGATAGAGGCTGAATCAGGTATGCCCTGCTCATAGGCACCTCTTTAGTAGCCCATCTTCGCACCACCAGTCCCAGGCCCCAGGCTGACGTCTTGGGGCGGAAGAACCACACCACCTCGCCGCTCCGGCAGAGGAATTTGTTGTATGACAAGTCGGCTTGTTGTTCGATGGATCGTGGCTGGGGGAGGGGTGTTGACTGCAATGTCGGGGGAGCTCTGATCTGTGCAGCGGCGGGTGTCGGGGCAGGCCTGGGACCGGCAACGGGCGTAGAGGGCTTGACGATGGGACTTGGGATAGGCGCACCGGTCGATGACCTTCGGGCAGGGATTTGCACTATGGGATTGCGCCCTGTGACGTTTGTGTTTGGTATAGCACCACTAGAGCTGTTTTCACGCTTGATTGGCGCAGGCTGTTCCTGCTTGACTTCGACCTTGACCTGGGGCTTCTCGACGTCTCCGGCGGGCGAGCACATCTTGCACGTGCAGTTGGCCATGTCGCTGTTCTCGTCGGTGCACAGCCACAGGAGATGGGGGAAGAACTCGACGGGGCTCCTGAAGCGCTTCTTGGGGCCTTTGGGGTATCCATAGAGATAGGCGTCTTGTCTGTCGTGGCCGCCGCCTGAGTGGTTCTTGACTGTCTTCAGCTGGCCGTCTGCCTTGGTCTTGATGTGCTCGTATAGGACGTAGTTCTCGGGCAGCTCCCACAGAATGCATTGCTGCCACCGATCTGTCACATGTCAGTGCGCTGCAGCGAATGCGCCGCGCATAGCCATACCTTCGAACTGCTTCCCTCCGATCTCGCGCAGGAGCATGCCGCCCAGTTTCTTGCGCCAGTCCTGGTGCTTGGGATCTTCCTTCTCGATGAGGCGGTAGAAGTCGCGCTGGCCCTGGTCGTTGGGCGACGTGTTGAGCTGTTCCTCGGTCGGCCCATTTCTGAGCGGCCGGCCTTTGAGGTTGACGATGTGCTGCCCATCCGACTTGGAGGCGAAGATGGGGAAGAAGGGCGTCATGGGCTGTTGCGCCATGGTGGTCGAGGGTGGTGCGCCAGATGCGCGGGCGTGGGGACTTGATTCGCGAAATGTCGACGTGTGAGGGTCGCGGCGTTGGATAGACTTGATAGCTCGGAACGGTTCCGGAAGGAACGCCTGCAAGTCGCGCTAGGACGCGTCGGCCGCAATCGACGTATCGCCTCCGCGCCTGGCGATGCGGCTACGCTTCACTTCACTTCACCGTGAAGACGCCCAGTCGTCTTATCACGCTCCTTTGGGCACGCTGCGTCGTTTCATTTCATCCTCACCGTCACCGACCTTGTCTAAGACTTTTCTTGCTGTGCTTTGTCCTTCTTTGCCCTGCGACAACACTTCTCTGTCAATTCCGTTGTACTATACACCCCTGGCCAATTCTCATTCACTGCGCAAGACCTGCCTACAAGATACCCCACAGTTGTCGCCATGGCGGGACATCCGATCATCACCCTGGGTTCGCCCCAGCCCATCACTCCAAAGAAACGAGGCGGCATCTACGAAGACCTCCTGGCGCAGTTCGGATCAGAGAGCTCAGCCCAGTCGGCCACCAAGAGACGACGCATCTCTTCACAGCAGGCGACCAAGCAAGACGAGACTAGCGACAACAAACGCAGCCTGCGCGCGCAACCAACGCCAAACTACGTCGCCTCCGACTCATCCGCAAACGAAGCCTCGCCATCCACGCCTGACCACAAGCCCAGGACCGTCGCCGACAAGTACCCTCGCGCCTCCACAAGACGAGCTGGCGCCCACGCGGGAACCAGCGAAGACGAACTTGCCCCCTCAGCCCGCCCGAACCGCAAGACAAGCGCCAGAATCTCGGCCTACACCGAGGAACTGAAGATGGAGAAACGCAAGAAGGAGCGCCAACAGTCTGGTGGACTTCGCCGGAGCACGCGCGACAGGAAGAGCACTATTCTGGAGTCCGACACCCTGCCCACCCCGTCACCACCTCGTCGCAAGTCAGCCCGGCCGCCGCCCAACCTCGATACCGCTCGTGCCCGTCTCCGCGTTGAGATTGCTAAGAAGACCAAGGCGAGAGCGAACAGCTTCCTCGTCGCCAACAAAGACCTTTTCCTCCCACTTCTGCCTAAGAACAACCAGGTCGCGAAACTTGTCGCTCAGGGCGATGCGCAGCCCATTGTCGAGTATGAAGAGCTCTCGGAGCAACCCAAAGGCGTCACCGCTGTAATGAAGCCATACCAACTATCTGGTCTGTCATACTTGGTTCATCTCTACAACAACGGTTTCTCCGGTATACTCGGCGACGAGATGGGTCTCGGAAAGACGCTACAGACATTATCGCTGTTCCAGTATCTTGAAGAGCTGGACGAGAAGAACGGTGTCACGTCAGAAGAGCTTCGGCCTTATCTCGTCATATGCCCCCTCAGTGTGCTCAACTCGTGGGTCACCGAGGCCCAGCGATGGGTACCACAACTCAAGGTCATGCGCTTCCACGGCGCCGTCACCGAGCGAACCCGCTTGAAGCGCGTCATAGCTGGCATGGAGGACATGAAGGGCAATGAAACCTCGCGTGCGAAAGATCGGAAAGCCTCGCGCAAGGCTGGCCGAAAGGCGGCCAAGCTCACCTCCAACGACCAGAAATCCGACAACTACAAGATTGTTGTCACGACATACGAGACTTTCCAGGCTGAGCAATCATGGTTCAAGCACAGCTTCGCCTGGCGCTATGTCGTCTTGGATGAAGGACACAAGATCAAGAGCAGTGTCACCCAGATCTCCACAGCCCTCAAGAGCATCAGTGCCGAGTATCGTCTCATCTTGACTGGAACACCACTTCAGAATAACTTGGTCGAGATGTGGTCGCTTCTCACATGGCTGTACCCCAACGTCTTCGACGACAAAACCGAGACACTTTTCAAGGAGTCTTTCGATCTCAGCAAGGGCAAAGCGAACAAGCAAACCATGACAGACGCCCGCCGCTTGCTCGAACTCATCATGTTGCGACGTATGAAGGACTCTCCTTCGGTCAACCTCGGCTTACCGCCCAAGGAAGAAATCTTGCTATATGTACCCTTGACTCCCATGCAGAAGTTCTGGTACACCCGTCTCTTGACGCGTATGGACGATGGAATGCTCGACGAGCTCTTTGCTGATGGCAAATCCAAAGAGAAGGCCGCCATCGAGCAGGACATCGAAGAGAACAAACTACTGGCGAAGATGGAGAAAGTAGACAAGGTGGTCAACTCCGGCGGTGCCGAGGCTGATTGGGAAGAAACCACCAAAATTCTGCAAGAAGCCGTTGCAAAGGAGCAGACCGACACCGACACCAACAAGGGCGCCTGGAAGAAGCTGATGAACCTTGTCATGCAGTTACGCAAGTGCTGCTCGCATCCGTACTTACTCCCCGGTGTCTCGCCCGATCCCTACTACCTCAGCGACCACATCATTCGCGCATCCGGCAAGTTCATCCTTTTGGAGAAGCTTCTCAAGCACACGGTTTTCAACGAAGGCAAGAAGGTCCTTATATTCTCTGGCTTCACTCGCACGCTCGACTATTGTGAAGATCTCTTGTCTCTCATCAGCAACCACGGAGAGCGCTTCAAGTCTCTTCGTCTGGACGGTAGCACAGCTCGAGCTCGGCGTAACTTGGATATCCGCCTTTTCAACCAAAAAGACTCCAATTACAAGGTCATGCTACTCTCGACCCGCGCTGGTGGCCTGGGCATCAACCTCACAAGCGCCCAGGACGTCATCTTTCTTGACGAAGACTGGAACCCGCAGATTACACTCCAGGCCGAGGCCCGAGCTCATCGCATTGGGCAGACCAAGAAGGTGACCATCTACAAGCTCTGTACCCAGGGTACTGTCGAAGAGCAAATGATGGGTCGTATTCGCAAGAAGCTTTACCTCTCCGCAAAGATCACAGAATCGATGCAGAGCGTGCATGGCAAGCAGATGACCGACACCAAGAAGGCCGGACGTCCGTCTCTAAGTGAAGACTTGCCACAGATGGATGCCACGCAGCTCAAGACGCTTGTACGGCGAGGCGCCCAGGCACTATCGCATCCGGAAATCGATGTCAAAGAGATGGTGTCTTGGGATCTAGAGACTATGATGGCCAAGTGTCGCGATGCCCCTGCCGATTTGACCGACTCAGCGACACACTCTGAAGTCGATGAGGACAAATGGCTTTCTACCATGGAGAGAGTTGAATGCGCCGTGTTCGAAGGCAAGCGTCATCAACGCCAGCTTGACACCAGCTGGAAGGCCAATACCTCGGCCGCGAACATCCTTCCAGACACCATCACTCGCGAGGATCGCCGCAAGGGAAAAAACACTACCGTCATGGTCGACGGCTTTGCTATCAACAAAGAGTCCATGAACTGCGGTGACTGGGAAGCCGTGCCGACATTCGCAGGCAAAGATCCCCGCCTCGCCGAACCAGTCCGCGAGAAGCGTCGCGAGATCACCCATGAAGATCATTGTCTAGGCTGCTTCGAAGACGCCGATGCCGGACATCTGGTTGAATGCAAGAGCTGCCCCCGTGCTTACCATTACGACTGTCTCGATCCCCAGTACAAGGCCAAAGTGAAGGGCTTCGCCGGCTTCTACTGTTCCCAGCACAACTGCGCCGACTGCGGCAAAACCACCAACGACGCCGGCGGTCTCATCTTCCGTTGCCGCTGGTGTCCCCAAGGTTTCTGCGAGGACTGTCTCGACTGGAACGAAACCGAGTTGATCGGCGACACCCTCCCGGAATTCGAGCTGATGGGCGAGCAGCACACAACCGGTGGCTTCTACATCAAGTGTCCTACTTGCGTCGAGTCAGGCGAGGAGAGCGCGGAGCAGAAAGAGTGGATCGCGAATATGGAGAAGCAGTATAAAGATCAGCATGACATTTGGTCGCAGGAGCGCGAAGAGGCGCAGCGGAGGCTGAACGAGATCGACGCTGATGATGAGGTTGCTTCTCCGCCTGCTCTTACTGATACTTCGTTGCCTACTCCCGCGGTTGGCGGCTCTCGTGTTGGCACTCCTGTGTCCGTGGAGCCTGTGCAGAATACCAAGAAGGGGGGTAAGAGGGCTGAGGCATTCGGTGAGACGCGCGAGGAGAAGCGCGCGAGACTTGATGCACAGACTTGGACTGTTGATGAGGACCCGCTGATGCAGGGTCTTACGATGGCAAAGGGTCGGAAGGGTTAGGCGACGCAGATTTTGGCTTGTTCAAAAGAGCGAACTCTGAGAAGATGGGGTTTCCTGAAATCGACGATAGGAGCGATGGTCCTGGTTGTATTCCAGAGATGTGTTCTGGGCGTTTAGGAGCTTGACCTGGCATGCATGGATATACCCCCTCTTCGATGTTCAACGCTTTTCATGTAGGAGTTGAGACCGGGTGATACGTTTAGTCGTACTAGCGATGGTTAAAACGATTGAGCGAATAGCGGATGAGCATAGTAGCGCACTAGCGTGGCATGCAGCGATAATAATGAAGTCTTTGATTAATTTTCTGGTTGAGGTAGTGATTCATTGCTTGACTCTTGGTATCGATGATGCTGAGAAAGACGTCCCGAAGGCTGAGATGCGGGCAAAACTTTGCAGAAACACAAGAGTTATGAGCAAAAATTGTGATCATAGAGTGCTACTATTCACACCCCAGCATACCCTTTGCCATATTGATATATTGATACATCAGTTGAAAAAAAGAACTATGAGGCGTACATCCACCTCAACCAGAACGCCATTGCTGCATCAAACCAGGCCGATCAAGCCTACGTAAACCCCCCTTCCCCTTCAATCTTCCCAAACTTTTCCCCACTTCCCATACCACCTAGCCGCGCCCCGTCGAACCGCCACCTAACGATCCCGTATCCAGTCCTTCAAGCTAGCAATACTCGATCTCCGCCTCCTCCTCGACCCACCCCCCTCCATCCCAATATCCATACTCCGCCTCCCACTATCAATACTCCTCCTCCCCTTACTCTCCGTATCCAGCACAACAACAAGCACAGTACAATTATCCGCGCCCTTCATCTGCCCCTCTCTCGACGTCAACTCCTCCGCAATCTCCTTGGCTTCTTTCCCAGATTGCCACGCATCCACCGCCAGCCGTGTGCACTCCTCCGCCTCCTTCGCCGAACCGACGCCGTCAGACGCGAGGAGGATGAGCGACTGGCCGTGCAGGGTGCGCGTGGTGAAATGCGCTTTGTTGGAGACGAGGTCGTGGACTGCGGTTTTGCCTGGTGCGAGACCGGTTTCTACGCCGATGAGGTCGGAGAGGTCGTGCCCTGCTAGGCGGTTTACGCGGGGTTTTTTGTAGTCCAGATCGCCGAGGGCGCGCGACATGCTCACGCCGCCGATGCGGGCGATGCCGGAGCGGTAGTTGATTTCGCCGCCGGCATTTTCTACTCGTCGTTTCTCCAAAGGGCTGTCGGGTGCGTGTTCTTCGCTGAGGGCTTCGACGTTCCAGCCGCTAGAGCTGACGCCGGAGTCGACGCGTGTGGGGGACTGTGGCGATAGCGATTGTGGGGATTGGGGCTCGTGGTCTGCGAAGAAGACGTGGCTGTCTCCTAGGTTCGCTTGTATGAGCAAGCTCTGCTTTGTGTCGATGAGAACGAGAGAGACGGTTGAGCCTCCATCCAGGTTGGCGTGGTCTAGATCGCGGTCGACAGCCAGCAGAGCCCCTTGTATCGCGTGCTTATACTCGGCTACATTGGACGGCTTTTGGATGGCGATGTGTTGTTCCAGGTGTGTATGCAGATGCTCTGCAACATGGTTTACCGTTTCTGTACCCCCACTGCGACCGCAGTCGTTAGCTTACAAGCCACAACTTTGGGATTTTGTGTGACGCTGCTTACTGGCCATCATACACGGCAAAGACAGCGAGTTCTTTCCGAGCCTTGATTGAACCCGGTGTCAAGGTAACATAACGGTCTTCCTGATCTTCTCTCGCACCCAGAATCTGTGGGGAACAACGTTAGTAGGTGTAAAGAGAGATCTCGGTCTCAGCTCGGAAGAACCGGCATCTAGAAGGCGCGGGAAGAAGCATGCAAGGAACACACAACGCACCCTGCTGACACCAACGTCAATAATGTTAACGCTCATACTTGGTTTTTGGCGTAATGAATGGAGTTTTTCGCGTGGGATGCAGTAGTAGCAGCAGCGACAGAACGGCGGGCTCCCTATGTTTGTTTTTGCAAGCAATGAATTATACATCGTCATAGGCCAAGCCTTGCCCAGCAACAGCTGCTTGCGTTGATAAGCGGGCGGCACACGCGACCCTCACAAACAAGACGTCATCTACCCTTCCTACCTGCATACGCTGGAACCAATCAGGAAGCCGCCCGCGCCACAGTTTATTGGCTTATGTACTCAGCCTCAATAGCCTAGACCGTGGAGATGCGCAAGTGTGTAGCTGCTTCTGGGTCTAGAGCACGGAGAACGTGGAGAACTCAAGGGTCATTATGTGGGGCACGTGACGTCGTGATCTGTACTGCGCGAACGGCGGGCCCCAGAATTATATATGAGCAAACGGACCTCGCGCTGAGGATGCTTGTTGCCGGTGTATGCACATGCACGCCCTTACTTGGTGTTGAGCGAGGCTACACTTGAAAGACGGGGGCTGTGTGCGCGATATTTCTCAATCGGCGGGGCTGTTTACCCCTCGTGATGCGTGGTTTTTAACATTTGGTATGTCGATCTATCGTTGCTTGGCTGTTGAGCGAGCTTCCTCGTGAAGCTTGATGTACTACGGAGTATACTCGAGAGAGACTGAAATGGTTGAAAGAAAATGCCTCATCAGCTTGCACTGCCTCGTGAGCCAAGAGCTCCTAGATACGAGCTGCTTGTTCGGCCCTTTCCGATATCCACGAGATCCGCATGCCTTCGTCCGAGCCCACAGTATTGTGTTTCTTGTTGAGCAGGAGTCCGAAAGTCCGGAGAGTACCAGAGGACTCCCGGCGACATCCAGAGGAAGGGTGGTCGTCCTCCTCAAGCCTTCCGGGTAACACCGCTGTTCATCCAGTCATCTCGTAGCTGTTTCCAAATTCCATTTCCCCTAAATCCCCAAGCCCGTTTCTCCTTCTCCAGATTCGCAAGTTTGTCCTTCAGTATCTGGTCGTCTTGCTCTCCCTCGTTCCGTCCAAGCTCAACCATCAGCTCCTCGCAGGCGATCTCCTCGCTCATACACGCGCTGATGGCGCTCAGACACTCTTCGAGGTCCATGTCGTACCCGTACAGCAACTCTCTTACCGTTTCCATAGCCCGCCGATTGGTCTTCAAATGATCGAGTAGCTCGCGAGGTACTGAGGGCGACTTGACACCTTCGATCTTGACACGGCAGCATGGGCATGTGCGATATGGGTATTTCGCTTCATCGATCTTCGGTGTTCGCATCCACTGCTCTAGACATGACTTTCCAATGATATGACCGCACTGCTTGATTCGCACTGGATAGTCACCCAACAGTTGTAGGATAGAGGAATCTTGGAATGAGGTGTATGAGAGTTGGCAGATCGGGCAGCAGCCGGCGTTGTCATCGACCACAGAAGTATTGTCTGCTGTGACGGCGAGTAGTGAAAGCGGAATGGCGCACGCGAAATGGTCGACGTTGGTAAAGTCAGTCCTGGCGAGTATACTTTCGCGTGTCTCATCTATCCCGGCGTCCATATCGGATGCACGTTTCAGGCGCTCGTCCAGTTTTTGGGCGACCTCACTAACATCTCGCCGGCGTTGCGGGTAGTCAAAGTGAAGGACGGTCACGAACGCTGCCTGCAATCGCTCCTGTGGCGATGCGAGATTGCTGTTTGCGAGTGCCATGTACAGTCGTTCCAGATCTGTCCAGTCCTTTTCTCGTTCTTCCATTTGCTTCTCCACAGCGAATCTAAACATTCTTATTTCGTGTTCCCGGGTCATTGTTCTGTCATGGCAGTCGAGCATACCAAGTAGCCACCGCCGCGCGGCATCGGCTTGTTGGTCAGTCTCTTCATCGCTTATGCCGGTGAGACGAGAGATATTTGCTGGACTTGGAAAGTGCTGTTGCTCTAGCTTCCGCAGTTCCGCGGGTGTCATGGAAATTACGTCCTTGGGATTCTTGTGCCTGTACCCGAACTTGCGCAGGTCTCGTATGCTACGTAAGTGTGTACGCACACGTCGATATACTGCCATCGTTAGCAGAGGATCTCAATATGAAGAGGTACGGCGTAAATAAATTTCAGGGTCGATGCAGGGCATGTAGGTGAGTTACGTACCTGCGGCGCTCGCCGGCGCCTGATTTATTGGTGGAACCAAATCTTGAGCTTCGGCGGACATGATTGCGCAAGCTTGCAGAGAGTGCTATGGAATTTCCACGGTCGTGATAACTCGAGAGCGGGATGGAGTGGGGGGATTCGAAAGTGGAAGGTACCAGCCTCACGTGTTTGCTCTACCACGAGGACGGAGCGACCTGAGTGGGGCAGCCCTTTCACACCCCGCACGTGACTGATGCCTGTCGCGGGGTGAAAGAATAACCCGACTACAGGTGCAGATAATTAAGTCAGGAAAGGACCATGAATCATGCTGACTATGTAGCCATCATGGTATGCTGAGGTGATCGGTGGCAGCTGATCACCTGGCCAGTTTTGCCGAACGTGCCTCTTATCCTTCACCTCGCAAAGTCCAGGTGCATCTTATGTTGTACGAGAAGTTACTTCTACAGTCAATATATTAAAATCACAGCCGATTACCTAGTTATGCGCCACAGGTCCCCCGAGTGAAGCTATCTTTTCCCTAAACTACCCGAAGCAATGAGTGCGCCTATCTTTCGAAGCCATTCTAAGTCCAACTTTTTCGTCTCTGACCTCTCATACCCCCTCTGCATCGCCAGCTCACCCTCAAACCACTCCGCCGACTTCTGTATCCAAGAGAGCCAGTACATCTGGTCATCAAAGTCGTCAAGCTGTTGCTCGTAGTTACGAAAACGTTCCTCATCCTTGGGCCGATACTCCGGTTTGGGGAACAACTCTGTGCGACAGTAGGGGCAAAGATGGCTAGCTCCTTGTGCAGCGTGGATCCAGCGTTCCAGACACTCCTTATGATAGGCATGCTGGCAAGAAACAGTTAGTACTCCGGTGGAGGGGCACATGTCAGACCAGCAAACTACGCAGTCTATACCTTCCGGGTTGTCTATCTCTGAGGATATATCGGTGACGGAAATCATCGGGCCTACCAATTCCATTTGTAGCGCTTCCGAAGAAGCTTCTTCGATTCTGTAGTGTTGCTGGTTATAGGCCATCTCAATCCGTTGCAGTTCTTCGGTGAGATCGAATTCCTCTGGTATACCAAATTTCTCCCGTATTTGACGCATGCTGGCTTCGTATTCATCTAGCGACTTTCCGTAAAGACGACACTCGTTGAATATAAGTCGCTGGATGAAGGCGTAGTCATTGCATCGACCGAGGCGGCCATCAAGAGCGTCGTCGTATGGGTAATCAGTCCAGACAATTCCCTTGACATTGTGGAAGGCTTCAAGAAGTGCAGTGAATGCTTCCACTGTAGCTCTAATATCCTCAGACCAATATGACTGAGGAGTGATTGCAGCTGCGTCCAGAAGAGTCAGGGTGTGAGCCTTCCCCATTGAACGCTTGACGTGGTCATTCCAGTTGGCGTACACTGGGCTGTCTTTTCCATAAAGCTGATCAAAAAGCTCCTCTATGCTGTCACGTAGAAATATCGCGTTCCAATCATCGTCATCTGTCCAGGTAGCGTCTTCCACGTCATCGATTTCCCGGTCGACCCATGTATCAAATACTCCGGTTTGAGATGGTATAGGCTGAGACGGAAAGCCCAGTCGTTTCAATGGGACACGAAACACGGAGGTCAGAAATTCTTGCTCCTCGATTGGGCCTCGTGGAAAAGCATATAGTCTTGTTGTGAGAACGAGATTGAAAATGCTGGTAATCTGATTATCGCTCATCTTGTTTCGGTATCTTCGTGTCGCTCGAATGAAGCGGCCTGGAATTTGTTTGCTGTGGGATCGGACTTGAGAAGATTTTTGTCGCCATTTCATTGCCTGCTCTGACAATCTGTCAGATTACAACGTGCGCCGTAGTGTTGGAGGCCCATTGTGAGAAAGGTCTGCTAGCATGCGCAAAGTAAGAAGACATTGCCAAACAGGCAATACAGAGTGAATGACAGTATAGGGGATGTCCATATGGTTTTCCGGTTGGTATCCCCAATCATCCTCCTGAAGTAGTCGGGACTTTGAAGAAAATCGTGTAGCAGCCAGATGGACGAAGCGGTGAAAGCTATCGCTCATACAATGGTCAAAGTCTCCACACTCTCCGCCTCTTCATCCCAACTATACAGTCTGCCTTTGCCAACCCTTCTAAACACACCGTTTCCGGTCTCGGCGTCCGCCAAAACCAGAATCTCGACGTACGGTACATTTCCAGATTTCATAGTATATCCCTTGACGACAGTGAGTTCCTCCGGAATGTATGTGACTCTCTCAGGTACCGGAAGTTTCGTGAAGGTTTCATAGAAATTGTCAAATATGGCCGCAAACAGCGGAAATCGGCATGTCAATCTGCGATTCAACTCTTCTTCTGAAGGCGAAAGACTAAGAGGCGGGCCAGGGAGAACACCGTGCTTTAGGTCGTCATAGAACCAGTACCCAGCCGGAGTTCCGTCAAGACTATTCGGGTTGGAGAGCTGTAACGCGCCCAAACTCTCGTTAGGCTCCGAGGTCGTAAAGGATCCTGTCATTTGGAAATCTCTCCGTTCGACATTCCAGTAAGCTTTCACGCAGCGAGCTCTGATCACGAATCTCGCATTGGTCACGGATCCAAAAGGGTTCGTGCCGTCGACTTGCGTACTTGCTTCTACTATCTGGATAGGCAGAGGAGTTGCTTTGCCAGGTGCTAGTCTGGAGGAGAACGATTCGATGTGCCCATCAATGCTCGCCCAGCTCCAGGAAGGCGCTCGATATTCGGCCGCGCGCGCAGGAGGATCACGCAGATCTACTGGATCGGGATACAAAGGAGACCAAAATAGCGAGCGCTCCATCTCTCTGCGCCAGTGGCCGGCGAGATATTCGTCATGTGTAACGGCTTGTATTCGCGATGCTATACCAGCCATGGCTGGTAGCTTGTCTGATGGGAACGTAAGCCGGCGAATGCTGTACTCGTCAACTGCGGAGTACCATAGATTATATATAGTGGTCTGCATAATGTGTAGGAGGAATGTGTAGAAGGGAGGGTCGTCGCTTGGTCGAATTAAGGTCGGTGGAGTAGGAGTGCGATGCCGAGGCGCGCGCAGATCGAGGACGTGGTGGGTCTTTCCGCCCTTCGTGATATGAACCAAGATAGGCAGTGGATTTGACGTATCGAGAGAAGGGCCTTCATCCATAGCATTCACTTGCTTAACAGTGCAGACGAAGCTGTCTGCTGAACATATTGTTGTCCATTCATACCGCTCACTTTTTGGCTCCTCAAAGAGCCAGGGCCTCAAGTGAGCCCTGGCAAGTGCTCTCAGTCCTGTCCGTACATTCAGAGTGTCGAGGGAAGTGCTCATGAGCTGTCCATTTTGATCTTGTATCGTTTCGCAGCAGCACCAAATAGCCTCGCGTTCAAGGAAACAGATTGTCCTTTGGGACAGATGCCTCTCCTGCATCACCCATGCTCGTGTGTCCAAGACGTTGGATTTCGTCTTGTCCACTGCCAGGCGTATTTCTCCATTGATGAAGGTCGGGGCAGTGAGGAAAGCTCGGCCTTTGCGGTCCCCGAATGAAGGTGGTAGTACGACAACATCTTCTGTGAAGTTCTCAGATGGACTGAACGGAACAAAGAGCCCGGCTGAGGAGTCATTGGATACTGAAGCTGCCAGTGTCAGGGTGCTATCGTGATAGATCGAGCCCATGAGCGCCGACTGCTCGTCCCAGTCGTTTTTCGAATCCTGCACAATGCATAACCTGTCGATGAATATGTACTTGATACCAAGCTGACGACAGGTGATTATGGCGTCTTTGAACGTCTTCGGAAGTTTTGTCCAATCTATGGCATGCATATGTGCTTCCAGATTCTTGGTCGTGGTCATCCCTTCTCTTGAATGGCCCCAACAATAACTCAGAGCCACATAGCGAGCGTATAGTCCCTCTCCCGCTACGAGACATGGACTTTCACCCTCTTCAGCCACATATATTACTCGCTTTGGCAATTCTGGAATATCGTTGTCACACATTGCGTGGTTGGCCTGACAGTTGACCAACCAGCGCTTGATGACATCGAAATAGGCCTGGGAAGGCAACTCGTTCAGTTGGACACGACCGGAAACAAAGGTGTGTTCTTTGCCGGGCAGGATGGGCTCGGAGCCCAACTCGTCACCTAGAAAGGGTTATCAGATAACGGAGGGTAGATCGACATGTTTCAGTACCTTCCTCGACCGAAAGGACCATACACGCTACCATCCATTTGGACTTGATCCAGATACCTACGTATGAAGAGCCCTTCATCTCCGGGTGCCACCCACGCAATGCGCCCGGGACAATTTGCAATTTTACAGAAGTCGCTTTGAGAGCTTCAAGGGATCCGAACCAGTAATCAGTGGCGCCTTCAAAATGAAGTTCTTGTTGCGGTGAAAGCTGATTGTCGTCATTGATGCATCCGTGCAGCATCCTGCAGAGACGGCAGCCTGCGGCCGACGCTTCCAATGCAGCCAGATCATCGGCATGGCGATAGAAGTTCGGGGGATAGAGATTCGAGAAAGTTAGACCGCTGCAAAGATGGCAAAGTGACATTGTGTCAGCATGGAGCTGTAATCCGAGGACGAAGCAGACGTTGAGCCTGAGGGACGGCCATAGCTGCCTGGAGTTCGCTAATGCGGGGTGTAGCTTCCAAGGTTGTCTCAGCTAAGGCGGTTCGCTACAGTGTGGCCATGTATGAACGCTCTGTGATCGCAACCTGTTGGCATATGAGGACGAAGATGTGGATTAAGATTCGATGTGCGGTGGAAAAGATCAAAGGCCCCAAACATCAGTACCAGCGTTGCGACTGTATGGGCCTAGTGCGTTGAGGAGTCTTGGCGCGCGGGAAGAGCCGCAATTACTCTGGCATCACCGAGACGCGACCAGGACATAGCACGTATACCCCTCGATCGCCCTTTCCTTGCGCACCATGACCCGATAGCTGATTGTTCTTTTCCTCTTCTTCATACCATTCACAATCTCTCACCATGGCGTCGGCGGTGTTTTTTCTCGACCTGAAGGGCAAGGTATGGCGGTCAGGCCTCTGGGAGGGCTACCTATTGACCATCGCATAGACCCTTCTGGCGCGCAACTACCGCGGTGACATCCCCATGTCAGCCGTCGAGAAATTCCCCATCCTACTGAGCGAGGCCGAAGACGAGAGCTCGGCAGTCCCACCATGCTTCTCCAGCGAAGGCATCAACTATCTCTACATCCGCCACAACAACCTCTACCTCCTCGCCCTCACCAAGCGCAACACCAATGCCGCCGAGATTCTCCTGTTCCTCCACAAGATCGTCGAGGTCTTTACAGAATACTTCAAAGAGCTCGAAGAGGAGAGCATAAGAGACAACTTTGTCGTTATCTACGAACTGCTGGATGAGATGATGGACTTTGGCTACCCACAAACCACCGAGACCAAGATATTGCAAGAGTATGCATCCCATACAGCTATATCATGGCCCCACAATAACAACAAGTCTGCAGATACATCACACAAGAGTCGCACAAGCTCGAAATCGCACGCCCACCCATCGCAGTCACAAACGCCGTCAGCTGGCGAAGCGAAGGTATCCGATACCGCAAGAACGAAGTCTTCCTCGATGTCATCGAATCGCTCAACCTCCTCGTTTCCGCGACCGGCAGCGTGCTACGATCCGAGATTCTGGGCGCTGTCAAGATGAAGTGCTACCTGTCGGGTATGCCTGAGTTGCGACTGGGATTGAACGACAAAGCCATGTTCGAGACCACTGGAAGGGCTACACGAGGCAAGGCCGTTGAGATGGAGGATGTCAAGTTCCACCAGTGCGTGCGATTATCAAGATTCGAGAACGACAGGACTATCAGCTTCATTCCACCGGATGGCGAGTTCGAGCTGATGAGCTACCGCCTGAACACACAAGTCAAGCCCCTCATCTGGGTAGAGTGCATAGTCGAGAGCCATTCAGGCAGCAGGATCGAGTACATGCTGAAGGTAGGCCGGTCTCTGGATAACGGCATGTAACAGGCTGACACGTCGCAGGCACGAGCACAGTTTAAGCGACGAAGCACCGCCAATAACGTCCAGATCTCGATTCCTGTCCCCGAAGACGCAGACACCCCTCGCTTCCGAACAAACATTGGCACTGTACACTACGCGCCTGAGACATCCTCCATAGTGTGGAAGATCAAGCAATTTGGTGGTGGCAAGGAATTCCTCATGCGCGCCGAGCTTGGTCTGCCATCAGTGCGCGGTGATGACGAGAAGGGTGGCGGTATGATGGGAGGCTTCGGTGGTAGCATGGGCGGTGTTGGCGGCGGAAAGGCCAAGAGGCCCATCAACGTCAAGTTCGAGATTCCTTACTTTACCACATCAGGTATTCAAGTGCGGTATCTGAAGATCATCGAGCCAAAGGTACGGACAAACTATCGTAATCGAATAGGCAGTGGCTAACATGCGCGCAGTTGCAATACCCGTCGCTACCTTGGGTACGATACATTACACAGTCTGGCGACATCGCTGTGCGGTTACCCGATGTGAATTAGTGGTGCTAAGAGAGCGCTGGCGATGAATATACCAATACGACTATGAAACATGCATTCCATGTGCACTGCATCGTTGAATGCGTCTCATGCAGGAGATGTGATGATATTTGACTACGAGTGAGGACTTGCAGGGTCTGGGAAGTACCAATGGACTTGGCACATTTGTCAACGTGTTGTGCCTGACATGCGCGCACACGACATGCTAGTACCAACATCCATATGCGACATTGGACAACATGCCTCTATGCAGTGTAGCCTCGCATGCGCGGTCCGCCTCATTTTACTTACGACTTTTGATCTGCTGAAATACTTGACGTTGACCTTCATCAGCTTTAACGCTTGTCTTATTGTGAAATGAAAGCGACACTACCTGCATCATTACGAGACAGTGGTTCAAAGGCAACATGCATGGAAGACTTGCAGCTCTAGAGGTTAGTCAGCGTCACGAGACAGTTTATTACTCAATCGAATATCAAAAAGACGCGTACACTGTCGCACACAAGTCATACTCGAGCGTAATCGAGTAGCGATGGTGGTGTCAGAGTGAGCGTCTCGTCGGTGCTTGCACCTCCGTCTCCGCCGATGATCGACAGTGGGGTCTCTGCATCATACGTTTGGTCGTAGTTCCCCACTCAACCTCAACTTGCGACACTCCATTGCCAGACTGAATGCGCAACGGACGCAATGGCAGCTCCCTGATCGTGCTGAGCCATCCTACTTCCAGCTCGTTCCTTTGACAACGCGACAGACGCACGCAATTCCAACAACCGACATATGCACGCGCGGTAATACCACAGCACGTTTCTCCGCGTTTTCTCCCCACCTCCATTCTCCGAAAAAGCACGCTGCAGCACATCTCACGCCGCCCTTTCTGTTTATAGTGACAAGCCCATCTTTCGATACACGCCATCTTACCCAATCACCTATAGCCCTGTCCATGTTCGACCAATGCAAGTTCGTCGTCAAGCTTTGATCGCCTGTTTGCAGACTCCACTACGCTCCACTACGCTTCGCTACGGCATGCCACAAGGCTGAAAGCCTGACCCTGCATCACCACCATGCCAATGACGCTTTCTCGGGAAACATGGAAGGGCTGCCGAGACAGTGCGTGTATAGGCTTGCGGACGCGTAAGCTTGTAAGCGTTGTTGCTTGTCATCTCTGATCCTACGCTTCTCTGCCATCCAGCGTAAGGTGGACTAACGCTCAGCTGAGCCTCGCGGGCCCCCTCCGGACGCGTTTCTATGACGGAGTAGTAAATAAGCTATGATGGCGTCCAATGAACGAGTGGGCCGCGTATGTTGTGTCTAAGGGTATTTGTATGCTGCGGTGTTCGCGTGTAAGAAACGATTTTTTTTTCTGGAGTTGAGAATACACAGGCGCGACTGAGACTGACAGGGCTGGGTATCGTTGCACGGAGTCGGTTACTGCATACTGTTTGTTATTACGTCTACGCGGCATAACAACAACGGTTCCCCAGACACAGACGCGAATACCACGACGCGAATACTACCTACCAAGATGAAGTTCACCTTCACAACCGTCACAGCGCTCATCGCGCCGATCCTCGGCCAGAGCATCACGCCAGCACCTACATCGACTGATCCATGGTATGGCTCCGGTCCACCATGGGCATCCTCCGACCCAGGAAAATGGTCTTCAATCTATGAATCCCTCCTCTCAGCCGGAAAGATCCCATCGACTCTAACCGCCGCACCCTGGCCAACCGGTAGTTACGGACCGGGCCAAGGACCCTGGGGTCCAGGCGGACCTCATGGTCCAGGTGGACCGGGGAGACACTGGGGAGGTAAGATAGCTTCCATCCCATCCCATCCTCCCTTCACCACCAAACCCCTACTAACCCCCTCCCCTAGGCCCCTCCGGTCCCGGCCCCTGGGGCTCCTCCAACTTCGGTCCCTACAGCGACTGGTCCACACGCTCAGACTGGCGGTCAGGCCCCTGGACCGCATGGTGGGACGGCAGTGCGTGTCCACCCTCTGACTGGCCTGGCTGGACAGCGGGGCCCTGGAGTAGTTCTGCGCCCTGGACCAGCTGGAGCGGATGTGAGGCTAGTACGACGGCGACGAGTGTTGTTACGACGACGGTGAGTGGGAGTTTGGTTACGACGACGGCGTATGGGTTGCAGGTTAATGCTGCGAGTGCGGTTGTGAGTGATAGTGGGAATGGGGATGCGGGGAGTGGAGCGCAGGGGAGGGTGACGGTGGGGATGGGGAGTTTGGTTGCGCTTGTGGGGTTGGGGGTGGGTGTTGTTTTGGGGTTGTGAGATGATGGGGGAGAGGGATTCGAGATGTCTGTTTCCTGAATGTCTTGGCTGGAGACTCTTCTTATACCATGAGATATATCGTCATGTTAGTGTAATCCCGTAGACGAAGTAACGCTTTTTTCCTTTAAATGTTCTCCTTATAATCAATTCAAGACATTTGCATGTCTTTTCGAGATCACTTTGCATCTGCTTGGAGAAGAGACGTGTCGAACATCGAAAGAAGGTATCTCACAACTCTTATATATGCCTGCGCAGACCAGACGTAGTCTCTCCATGCCAGGATCTTCAAGAACTCACACTACCATCTACAACATCCTCGTCATCTTCGCCTTCCACCCCGTCTTCTCCGCGCTCCCTTGCTCTCCACTCCCCACACTAATCCCCTCATCCACCACACCGGCTTCATCGTAAATCTCATCCGGATACACCGCCCTATCGATAAACGTCTCCTTCGGCGGCGCAACAACCATCTCCAACACCCCATACACCAGCGCCGTCGCCGTAAATCCTAGTAACCAACCAAAGCTATACGGCCTAGCACCCACACCAGCATCAATAGCCGGATTGATAGACTGAATGAACCCCGGCATATTCGGCGCAACGCCAACGAGAAAAGCGACAATAGCGCGCCAGTTGCAACCGGCGGTGTACTTGTAGATACCATGATATTGGTACAGAGCCAGCGTATCATACTTCCCACGATGCACGACCCAAAAGTCGACAACCATAATCGCCGCAATCGGACCCAGGAAAATCGCATAAGCAGCCATGAAATTCAGGAAACTACCCGCGGACGCGAGAATCTTCCAGGGAACAAGCGCCCAGCAGAGGACCGCGCAGAGGAGCTGGCCGCGGCGGATGTTGACGTAGCGGGGAAACAGGGCGGTGAGGTCGTTGGCAGCGGAGAGCGAGTTGGCGGAGATGTTGACGCCGAGGGCGGCGAGGGCGAAGGAGAAGGCGGCGAAGAAACGGGCGGCGCGGTTGTCCCAGTGGGCGATGAGGGCCATGGGGTCCCAGTCTAGAGTGCCGTATTTGACGGCGCCGGCCGAGGTGGCGGCTACGCCGATGAAGGCGATGAAGGTGAAGACTATGGGGAGGAAGGGCACGTATATGCATTGCCATTTTACGGAGACGCGGGAGTAGCGGGAGAAGTCGGACTGTAGTTACGATTAGCATGTTGTTTAGATCTCCAGACGGAGTTCGCAGCGGAATCCATGGAGGGTTAAGAGAACTTACCTGATTCACAGACAAGGTAGCATAATTCCCAATAACACTCGTCAAACTCGACAAGAACCCCCACGAATACGCACTCCCCGTCAACGTAGCCTTCTGATTCCACATCTCACCTCCCCCATCCGTACTCACAAACGCCCAGATGAGAATCGCAATCCACGCAATCGGCACAATGATACTCTTAGCCATGAACAGCCACCTCAACTCATTAGGATGCATAACCAAGAACGGCACGCTGCCGAGCCAGAAGATGAAGAAACTGATCATGGTCGCTGTATCGATGCCTTGGCTCTCAGGGATACCGTTTTCCAGTGTGAGGAAAGAGGGCCAGATGGCGCCGATCATGACGCGCACGGAATTCGCGCCGTTCATGTTTTGGATGGCGAACCAGAAGATGGCGAGGATGGCGCGCGAGACGATGGCGATGTAGGAGCCCCAGAAACCCCAGGAGGCGCGGGCGATGACGGGGAAGGGGACGTGGTGGAGGACGCCGATTGCACCGTTTAGGGCGATGACGAAGGAGATTATGAAGAAGGCCAGGGCGACTATGCCGAGAGATTCGCGCCATGTGAGGCCTGGTGGTGGTGTTAGTTGAGGGTCTAACTTGGGTAAGGTGGAATGTGGAGAGATGTACCGATTGCGATGATGCTGGATGCGAATTGCCATGTTGCGGCGCTGAGTTGATGTTAGCATTTCTTACTTCGTTGATGTCAAAAGTTTGGTAAAGGCATACTTGAATGCATCCGACACCCAATACGAGATGAAGCTCGTCACACCCCACTTCCTACCATGCCTCGGAACAGGGTCAAGATCTTTGTTCGTCCTGTATACCATCAATCAGTACAAAAACTTCATCATCGCGCATCTCCGTTTCCAATTCAGACCTACCATCGCGCATTGCCTTCCGCAAACGTGCTCTTGGGTTGCTCAACCCTGAGCGTCCAATGCGGCTTCTCGATCAACGGCATCCTGAAGCCTACAGTGCCAGCCACCAAGAACGTGGAAGGGCTGTAAAGATGGGAGGACCTTTTGTCCTTGAGGGTCTTTCCGCGCGACGGACACAAGCGCCTTCTTATCCTCTAGCAGCACGCACAGTCTCAGTGCAGATCTCCGAACAGCGGGCGCCCAGGATTGACGTTACGTCTATATCTCTGGCAAGGCGACGATAAGATAAGCGCCACGAGCCGACCATGTCAACACTTCGTCTAGAGACATGGATCGAGACCCAGCTGGACTAGACGAACGCCTTGAGCCTTTGCTCGCAGCCTTTTGCTCAAAAAACAACCACTCACACAGCTTGTCATGATGGTTAGCGGCTGTACCCAAGGTCTCGGTCCTTGGGAAATGCGACCGTTGCTAGATGGGGCCGGCTGTCATTCGACGGTCGTGCAGGTGCAGATAAGCACCCCAGTCGGTTCGGTCTTAGCGAAGGCGCCGCTCGGTAGCGCTTCAGCTGAAATTACCCCAGAGAGGGTGATCCCCACGCAACGCGATAGGTACGATGTCTCCTCCACAGATACACATATATGTGACGGCTCTAATCAATACGAAGAGAGTGATATAGTGTATCGTAGTACCTACTAAGGGTGCAAGCGTTTGACGAGCTTTGTGGAGGAGGGGAAAACCAGTGTGTCTCGGTACTTGGGGCGCATGCACGTCGCTGCCGACTACTGCACAAGCTGGCCTGGATTCATGGGTCAGTCGCGTAATCTCGTGCATACGAGAAGTGTCATTGAGCTGAACACATGTCAAGAGCCTCGAGCGGCAGATTGAATGGGGGTCATTTGGAAGAAGCTTCGTGAAGGCAAGTACGTTCAAGTTCATCGCGTTTTGCTCAATGCGCTAGCTACACATACGCCAAAGTATGGTCCTCTCGGATGGTCGCATTCACGCCTAGGTGGACCTCACCACCCACAACCGATGAGCCAGTGACGACTAGCTCGCCTGCGGTCTGCTCGTCTGTTGTCTTGAGATGTGGTGTATCTTTCAACTTGATCTCCACGCAGCTGAGGGGCACACCGAAGTGGCTGTGCTTGTTCGATGCTGTCTCCCTCCGGTAGTCATAGATGTTGGTTTGCGCAACGGCTCCCGCTACCTTGGCTGTGGTCAAAGCGTATACGACACGCGCTTTGGTGAAGATACGTAGATCGGAGAGGTCCTCCGAGCTAAGTGGTGGCGTGTTCAGGCCTTGTCGTTCAGACACAAAGACCAAGCGCAGCTTTCCAGGTGTTGTGCCGACAGCCGCCCTCTTGGGCGCATTGAGCTTTGTGAGGAGATTGTCGGTAGGCAGGCGGCCAGCAGTCAACATGCGCGTCTCGAGGTAATGTGCCAACTTCTGGGGGCCACCGGTTACTGAAGTCTTGGTGGTGTTGTGAAGCTTCGCAGCTGTTTCGGCCGAGACGACGGTGACGGTAGGGGCGATGGAGCGTGTAGCGAGTTCCAAATCGACACCCGGACCGGCAACGGACTGGATGACGACTGTCGCGTGAGAAAACAGAGCAACCAGCGTCAGGCACAGACAGTAGGAATGTGTAAAGGCGTCTGCGGGAAGGAACGTATCCGAGGCATTGAGACGGTGGGCGGCAGGGAGGGACGTGACAAGTGCACCAACGGCGGCAGTCAGATTCTGTTTCCATCAGTACGTGCATATGTCAACATGGTAGGTTTACGTACCTGTTGCGTGAATTCGACAACCTCTGCCGGCTTTCCAACGGCTTCTTGCCAGAGGAAGACAACGTTCCGAGGCTTGCCGGGATTCGACGGCAGTGGTATAGTGGCATTCTTCTGTTCCTGTACAAGCTCGTGCCAAACAGCAACATCGATCTTTCCGCCGATGCCTTCGGGTACCTCGCTCCAGTCCATGTGCCTGCTTGTCTTCTCTACAGTCCAGACGATGGAGCGCAGGCCGGACACGCCCTGACTGAGTTCGGCAAGAGGCACAGAGCCTGCCTCGGCGATGAGGGCATCAGCTTTCGTTTGAAGAAGGAGTTCGGCAAGGGTCTCGTGTGGCTGGTTGTATGGGATCAAGATAGGCGTAAAGTCGAAGAAGGCACCCGCAAAGAGTGCAGAGAGGAACTCGAGACTGTTGGGGAGGTAGATGGCCACTCTCTTAGCACCGCGATCCTGTAGATGCTTTCCGAGAATAGCAATCTCCTTGGTAACATCTTCCACTTTGTGCTCAGTGACGCCTTCCTTTCCAAAGACTGTCATGATGTTTGCAGTGCCGCTAGACTTTGCGCCCTTCTCGAGAGGGATCTCGCCCGTAACACGTCGCCAGATATCGCGAAGATCCCCATCTTTGCCGGCCGAGTACATGGGAGCGCCCGGGGGTCGTACGGCAAGACCGGTACGGAGAGGATCTGCTGGATGTTAGCTGGAACGTCTGCAAACATATCGTGGGGTGCTCGTACAGCCATGAGGAGTTTCGGGGGAGCGAAAGACAGCAGACTCTCCCGGCTGCCTGACATACGAAGCTACCGCCTGCCTTGCGAGCAGCAGCGGGTGTGTGTCGGCATCGGCGCTGTCGTAGATGACCCAGGCCAGGAAGCCGACGATGGTGAAGGCGATGAGGGTGCTGACGAAGTTCCAGCCTGCGAGTACCTCCCCGATGGTCTGATCGAGCTGCTCTAGAGTTCCGGCCATGGCTGAAGTCGCATGAGTGAAGTGAAGTTGGAGGTTTGGCTGGCAGCTGCGGGATGACGGCGGGGGTGAATTGGTCCGCTAGTGAAGGGACCCCTGTCGGCTCGCATGTCCGTCCTCCGATCGCCCTTGCCAAAACATGGTTGCTGTACAACCACTCTGACCTTCACCATCGCGGCACCCTGTGGCAGACAGAATGTGCCTGTAGCCGCGCGACGCTATCCGAGACTAACTACTAACCCAGCAGCATCAGTGAAAGTGTAGTCCGACACGCGAGCCAGCCCATCTCTTGCGACTCCCTTTCGGCCAAACAAACAATCAACGCGAGTAGCTAAAAGCTTCACACAACATGTCGGTAGCCCGATACGCGCAGCCTGCGACTCCGCAGAAGGCCGCGACACCATCTACACAGGCGGAACAACCATACACGCCCAATGGTTCTTGGCGGCATCCCAAGTTCGACGAGATTGCGCGCCGCCAGTACGCTACCACGTTTGACGAGCGCAACGTCAGGGCCATCGTCCTGAATGCCGGCTTCCTGTTTCTCTCGGTGTATGGTACTAGAGTCACTGAGAAGGTGAAGCTATTGGAATACGCTGCGTAGGTTCCTCACAGGCTGTCATCGTGGATCATGCTAACAGCCAGCAGAACACCGATCAACGCTGTCGTAAAAGCTGTTCCCTACAGCGCATGGGCCGTCCTCCTCGTCCGCATCGTATTCGCCGCAAACATCGTCATCGCATTCCTCCCTCTCATCCGTCGCTACTACCCCGACGAGATCGCCGACATACCTCTCACCCCTTCACAGCGCGCCTCCATGGGCTTGAAGGCCGGTGTCCAGGCGCCCCAATCTCCAGGCTCTGCCTTCGCTTCGCCGAACTACGTCACGCCTCCCCGATACCAGCGATCAACACCGCGTAGCAACAGCTTCAGCAATCAAGAATACGGCTCGGGGTCACCGAGCTTCGCAAGATCGGGTTCGGGCTCACCGTTTTCACCAAACAATGGAGGAAACTTCCAGAGATCAATGAGCGGGTCTTCTGCGACGAAGCGGTTGAGCTATGGTGGCAGTTCGATGAGCAGTAGCTTGTTCGGTGACAGCTCAATCAGCATGACGGCACCGGGCACCCCTACGCCCTCTACTGGCAAAGCGAGTGTCGGACTGAACAGCAAATGGCTGTACGAGAAGCGGAGAGACAGCCGAAGCGGCATGTTTGCGCAGTAAATCCTCATGGCGTATGATGTACAGAGACGTGGGACGGCAACATATCGCTTTATACCCTGATATATCGCGTGGGCGTTTTGAATGATTTATTTAGTTTAGCATAGCTTGGAGCTGGGGCATTGGAGTCGCCAACCTGCTGGTGTACGATAATACAAAGAGTGGAATCTTCCATGCCATAACGCCATCGATGCCTCGTATCTACGTGAACTCACTCTAACGTGTGATTCATCCGTCCGTTGTATCGTCAATCCTCTTACCCTAACTCATGAGAACCGATCTCCCTTCCGACTCCGATACACCTCAGGAGCCTCATACTTGCTCTTCTCGCCGACCCTCTGCCCCTCACTCTCAGGCGCATGTCTCGTCGGCGCCGGATCTTGACTCGCCTGCATACTGGGGTTGCCCTCGCCTCCCATACCACCATTACCTCCTCCCTCTGCCCTCAGCCTGCCCACCTCGCTCGTCACGCTCTGCGGCGCCGCCTGTGTAGATCCTGGTTTCGCGGTTGGGTTCAGCGGTGTGGTGGTAGGCGCGGAGCTTTTCAGGCCGTGCTCGAGTTCATAGAGGCGGATGCGTTTTTGGCGGTCGGCTTCGGCTTTTGCGGCGCGGTCCGCGTTTATGCTGCGTTTGGCGAAGAAGTAGGCGCCGCCGCCTGCGACTATTAGAGTTGCCCAGCCGTAGCTGTGGGCGGTGTTAGGGTGGGTTCATTGGAGCTTTTGGTGGGATGGTGTTGGGTTTGGCATGCATGGGGTGGGTGGACTTGTGGGTGTCTGCGAGAGGTGTGACGTACTATACTGATTTGACCTGTTCGACTGTTAGTGCTGATGACGGGGTGCAAGGTGTACATGGAGCTTACTGTGTTCATGATGGGTTGTGTATTATCGGTCTGAGAAGGGAATTGGTGTGTGTGGAAGCTTGTGGCGGCTTTGCGACAGCTCGCAAGTTTTCTGAGCGATGGATGATGAAAGTGGTCTGATTGTTGTAAGGCTGCCGGCGATTGTTCGGCGATTAGACAAGGACTCGCCGCCGCGGGGAAGAACGGTCGACTGGTACAAGTCAGCCAACTCTGTTGCACCACCTTTTCACTGCTTGCCACGGTGGAAGCAGGCTCCGCCCAGAATATCCCTAGGATGCCACCGTGGTTTACGCTATCTTCAACCGGGACATGACGAGACACGCGCCATTTGATTTCTACTGACAGCATGTCTCAATAACAGCGTTACTGTTCATGATACTCAGAGCACCTTGTCATCCCAAGGAATACTGGGCAGGCCCGCAATGGAATTTGTCAATGATTGTTGCTATCGAACACTCAGGAACCTGTTATTCGCGGCGACAGGCTATGTCTTCTAGTCTCTCTATGTTGAGCCTGTCACTTGGTAAGACGAAAGAGTTCCGAAGCCCCAAGACTTGACACCAAGGATGCTCTCACTCCAAAACTACTGACCACAGACAATGCGTTATCGCGAGATGTACGAGGGTTACAGCATTACCTTCAAGCCATCTCGCAAGAGTGGGTGTGCTGCATGGTGAAAGTGTGAGCCTTGCAGGAGTGTCATCGCTGCAGCCAACCTGGCTTTGAAGAGAAGGTGCAACACTTCGGGAGGATGGCTGCGATACCAACGAAGAAGAAGCAATGCTCACAACCATCGCCTCCACAATACGATCGCTTACTACACTGCTCGCTGCATCGTTGAGTCCGGAAGTCCGGCATGATGCGCGACAGGAATGCCTCAGGAGTGCGGAGATGACAGGTACAATTCCTGCGTCTGCGCTATCGCGACATCGAGCCCCTTTGCTTAGGCATTGTCGACAGCGTCCAACAGGCGACTCTACGCGAGAGACTGTGAGCCTATCTGCCGACAGCGCGGCGTTCCTGCTCCAACGGGTGGCCCCACAGGCATGTAACGGGAAGGTCCACTTTAACGGGCGCCTGATCTCGAAACACCAACATCCCGAGGCTCTTCGCATTTCATGGGACCGCCACTCACCATCTGCTGTTCCTTCGCACGAGCATAGTTTCCGGAATTGAGCCGGACATACGGCATGGCACTGTGCCAAGCCGTCGTGTTTGCATGTGGCGTGCGACGTTCTGATTCGAAACTTGACTTTACGGTCGTCGAAACCTCCCACGCCTCATCGCTAGCGTACTACGGCAAAACGGAGGCTGAATTGTTGGTGTAATGAGCGCTAAGTGACGGAGGGCATGATCTGGTCCAGGTTCTCGAAGTTTGAAGCCTGTGGAGCAGCCTCACCACAACGCCTCTACGTCCATGACAGGCTAGGTGTTCCCTTCAAGGAGGTACCACAAGCTCCTGCGAAGTCTACCCAGGGTGCTTATTCCTTACTTGGCGGTATTCCGTACTCCACTCTTTCATTGCCAAGTCTCTACTCAGGCGCCTAGGCCAGCACGACCATACACCAAACCCTTGACCTATACCGAAGCACGTCTCATGCAAGTGGACACCACCATGGATGTCGAGTAAGGGATTTCACGATGTGGTGGTTCGACTGGTCATGGAGGATGGTATATAGATTACCATCCGTTCCACTGCTGGTAATCTATCTCCATCAACGGTCTTCACTTCTTCACAGCTCGACGCTGGTCCTTCTTTACTCCACATTCTATTCTATTCTCAGCGCTGAGCGCCAACTTTATTTTAACTCCAATCACTATGTACTTCGCTGCCTCTTCCGTTGCGCTTGCTGCTCTCTTCACCACCGTGCACTCGCACGCAGCTATCTTGGCCGCCGTTGGAGACTCTGGTGAGAGTCAAGGTTTCTTGGTTGACCCTGCTATTGCTCGCAACTGCACAACCATCTCTCCTTGCCAGCAGGATGCTACCATCATCCGCGACTCGGAGATCAAGCAGAACATCGTCAACGCCTGCGGAAGGACTGAGATCGCTGGCAACATCGACATCGGCGAGCAGACCGAGAACGAGCTTGCTGCTGGCCGTATGGCCCAGGTTTCTGGCGGCTCCATGCTGGCTGTCACCATCCACCAAGTCAACGCCGATGGCGCCGGTCCATTCGAGTGCGACATGGACGAGACTAGCAACGCCGTCACCACCTTCACACCCCTGAAGGTGTCCAACAACATCCCCGGTTCTTTCGGTCTCTCCCAGGCCAAGGAGAAGGACTTTGTCATCAACGTCCAGATGCCTGACAACTTCAACTGCCTCGGTGCTTCTACTGGAAACATCTGCACTATCCGATGCCGCAACAACGCTATCGCCGGTCCCTTTGGTGGATGCTTCGCCGTCCAGCAGACCGACGGACAAGGTCGCACCGACGAGGCTGCCTCTGGTAAGTTCCACATTTTCTATCATCATCAGATTGCGTCTGCCCTATCCTGTATCCATACTCACTGCCGCTAGCTGTCGACACTGCTCAGACACTTGAGGGTATCTCTGCACAAATTCTGCAAAACAAGAAGGATCTTCCTGCTGCTATCGCGGCGAACCAGGCTGCTGGTGCTGCGGGTGGTAACGAGGGTGCCAGTGCCATCTCCGGTGCGTTGCTTTTTCATCCGTCACGTTTTTACCTTCATGGAGTTCATGCTAACGTTTCTTTCAGCTCTTATTCCTGACGCTACTCAAGCTCCCAACGCTGGCAACGGTAACAACGGTAGCAACAACGGCGGCAACCAGAACAACGGCAACCAAGGCCAAGGCCAGGGCCAGCAAGGTCAGGGTCAAGGACAGAACCAGGGCCAAGGCCAGCAGAACCAAGGCCAAGGTCAGAACGGCCAAGGTCAGGGTCAGGGTCAGGGTCA